CAAACACAACCACACACAAAAGCACAAACACACCCACAACCACAAACACGAATACAAACACACACACACACACAAACACAAGCACAAACACCAACCCAAACACCAACCCAAACACAAACAAACACAAAAAGAGACACGGACACAAACACAACACACAAACACAAACAAAAACACAAAAACAAACACAAACACAAGCACAAACACAAACACAAACACAACCACACAGACAAACACAAACACAAACACAAGCACAAACACACACACACACAAACACACAAACCGACAAACACACACAGAGACACAAACACAGACACAAACAGAAACACAACCACACACAAACACAAACACACCCACAACCACAAACACAAAAACACACACACAAACACACAAACCGACAAACACACACACACAGACACAAACACATACACAAACAGAAACACAACCACACACAAACACAAACACACCCACAACCACAAACACAAAAACACACACACACAAAAGCACAAACACAAACACCAACCCAAACACAAACAAACACAAAAACAAAAAGAGACACGGACACACACACACAACACAAACACAAGCACAAACACCCCCAAAAAAAAAACAAATGGCCAAAGTGGCCACTTTTCTCGGCAGAAACCCGGTGCATGTGACTTAAGGAGACATTCCCTCGCCTGGAACCATGGGTGCTCCAGCGCCGCAGAGGCAGTGGGTCTTTGATTCTCTTGGTACCTCAGTCCATGCGGATCTAAGCTGGAGTTGGGGTCTGTCCCAAAATAGAAGAAAACCACAACATGAAGTGGCTGGTCTCCTTTTGGCTTCATTTCAAAACATGCAACAGGGGCTGTTTATTTTGAGACAAGCCCTCTGGGCCCAATATGAAACCCCAGGAATCTTGGGGCATGCAAAAAAGCTTGAACCGCGTTCAACCCTAAGTTGAACCGCCCATGATATCGTCTGTCATGACTGCCACAGGGTTCCCCCAAAAGAACGTCCAAATCTCATCAAATTCACAAGCAATCAAATGAGAAGAATCGATTCAACATTGCCAACAAGTTTACCTTTAGCACCCTTATAAAACCAGGACTGTGCCCAAAAAGAAAGCGAAAACAGCAACAAAACCGTTTGGCGGCCTCGTATTGTGGAAGACACTCAAATGAGACATAGTCAATACAGTTTCCTGAATGAGACATGGGACAATTAGAGCCCCCGTGTCCCTCCCAATCCGGCGAGTCTGAGAGCGGAACGCCAGCATTCTCATGACCTCACTTGCAACCAAAACTGACCATCCTTTCTAGAACATTGGCACCTATTGCATCCAAAGGAGACTAAGCCTATTTAGTGTCCTGCTCTTGTGTTCGGGTCCTTGAAAGCTCGGACTGCCAAAGATCCTTGCGACCCCATTTCCCACATGAGTCACAATCAATGCTTGGCATTCGAAGATGTTCTACCCAAGTCCATGTGGCTGTGGGTCAAAAATAGGTACTCAAAATGGGTTGCCCTGGCAAATGGTTCAAACAAAGATTAAACTTGTCCAGATCCTGTCCCTCTACCTCCCCCAGGCTTTGATTGTGGCTCAAGTGCGAGCCCAAACCCCCAGTGGCCATGGGAAAAAACGCGACTCTCTTTTCCTTGGGTAGCTTTATGTTTAAGGGAAACCCCTTTCACCCCCTCCAAAAAAGGATCCAAGGGCACTGGAGTCACTGAAGGTCTGGGCACTTATCTATTGCAAGCAACAAAACCACAGTGAAACCGATCAATTGGAATACCAGTTCTCCATGTTGCGGGAGGCGGGGCCGCGAAGCCACGAACTGCAGCAAAGCAACAAACCTTCAAGGGTGATAGGCCACGTATAAAATTGGAAACGGGAAATTCCAAATGGAAACCGGGTAGCTTGGCGGAAAACAACCCCTTCAGTGATGTAAGCAAATTGGGATCCCGCAACTAGATCACTTTGTAACTGGGATTCGCTTGGTATCACAGACTGTTCCAACCGTCATGCTTCCGGTCGTGCTGCCAAAGAGAACAAACTATTCTCATTGCACCTGGGCCATTTGTACTTCGTGAGCCCAAAAAAAGAGTTGGATCCTTCATAAAGGAGCCTTCACTACGTCGCGATGTCATTTGCCCAGATTGTAGTCGAATATTTAGTTAGGTTACAGGATAAAAGCCCAGGAAAAAACAACAAAACATCTTTACCCAAATGGATTCCCCAGGGGTTCCCGCGACGAGCAATTTCAACATGAGACCCCTCAAATGGGTGAATTCTCCTCAGTTTCCCTTTCAGAAATCCTAAAACAGGGGACCATCAAAGCTAGGAGTTCAACAAAGGGTCTAGAAAGATATCCCCATCAGCATTTGGTTTGTTTTGTGGAATTTGACAGGTCATTATGCTGTTTTGAGCACCCGCCAGGACCATGTTCTGACAGGAGGCGCCTCGGCAGCAAACCGATTCATCTCCCGTACTCCCAAAAACTGAGGCATTCAACGATCAATTCCCAGGGTTACAGGTTCATAAACCTAAATAGAGCCCAAATTAAGTCTTTCCCTTGGGGCGCCTTGGGGTCCCTGAGAGGCGCTGGGTGCTCGACTAGGTCACATGCATCACTGTTCTCCTGAAAGACTTCCTTGGAGAAGTCCACCTCGGTCGCGGGATGTGGATTCCTATGCGCCGGTGGAGATGTACAATGCGAAAACGAGCGACGCCTCTGTTCTTTTTTGCTGGGTGCGCTACCGTAAGAATAGGGGCTCACAAAACATATCTCGCGCTGGACAAAATTGAAAGGCCGGTGGCAAAGGCTCTCGACCCCAAGCAGAGCTGTGCGTCAAAGGCTACAATAAGATGCGCTGCGCAGAAAAGCTATGCTGAAACGACTTGTGCAACAAAACTATGTTGAGATGTGAAGCAAGGCTATGCTGAGATGCGCTGTGAAGCAAGGCTTTCTGTGGCGACGTGCAAGAGCTGCGGAAGCGCACTTTCTGTATACTACTTACTACAAACACACACACACACACACACACTTCCACAATGCGAATTTGGCGCTTGAACTGCGGAAGGTGCTCCGCGCCAATTACCTTCATACTCAAAAAACCGCGTTGGCGCGAGAGCTGCGAGCACATTTCGCGCAGCATCCCGTTGCGAATTCGCTGAGCTTCTTTTGGCTTCCCGCGGACCATGCAGAACTTGGCAAAACTTGGTAAACCAAAAATATGTTGCTGTTCCATATTAGTAGTCTACTGTAAACTATAAAGCATATATATATATATGTATTAATATATACCTGGAGTCTCCATGACCCTTCAGACATACAAGACCATTTAAACATGGGGCCATGACGTTTTTTTGTTAATGACACCATTGTTTGAGGGTCATGGAGACGCCCAGTATATTCACGTCTGTTTGGAGAAGAACCGATAAAAGAGGGTTTGGCACTTGACCAGGTTGGACTAAGCGAAAGGTCCCTGTAGAGAAAGCCGAAATGTGTAGCAATCCGGGTTTACCCTGTGCCCTTATTCCGGGAAATGCCTCGAGCCCCTCTTTGAGAAGATTCCCAAACTTCAGCAAATACCAAGTCATTCATTAAAAGGCGAACCAGAGACAGAGTAATTACCCTTCAAAGGGGTTGTTGTTCAAGGGAAGGCAAACCGAAATCCACTTCGGATATTATGACGACCCATACTGGTCAATAATCGACCAGCTCGTTGAAGTCCGCACCCATGGCACTACCTCGTAAACTGACGCCCGGGTTTTGCTTATGGCCGAGACTTCCTGCCGTTCGGCTGGCCTCGTTGACCCCTTCTGCCTTACCCAGGCGCTTTTCGTGCGTCCTTTGGGCGGAAAACAGGGCTACTTCAAAGGAAGTAACACCAGATTTCAGCTCCGAGGAGCCGTTTGAAGCGAAAAAAATAAATAAATAAATCAAAGTTCGCCTTATCCATAGTATTTGGCTTCATCAGCCTACAACCTCCCCAGAGAACTCTCCAACTGTTAAGGCCTTAAAGGCTTATTTCCCCCCAACCTGTGGCAGTCGCCCGCAGGGCATACCAAAATCGATATTTGAATTGTTCAAACACATTGGATTGAAGCGAAACCAACAGAAAAACCGAAAGCCCATTCACCCGGGCCAAACTTAGACCCCTTGCAAAAAACTTGACCTGTTGCTGTTTGACAGGAACAATTTAGAAAACAAGGCAACATGCTAAATAAAATCTGACGGAACACTGAGGGACCCTCATCATGAACGCTGGGGGTGAGGGAGGGGGTGTCTTCTAAAGCCCTGAATGTATTCAGGGCTCCCTACCCCTCCCTACCCCTCCCTACCCCTCCCTACCCCTCCCTACCCCTCCCTACCCCTCCCTCCCCCCCCAGCCATGAAGTCTTGGCTCCCTGAGGTCCCAGCTTTGGCCACTTTCAGCCTTCGGCGAATCTGGGCCATCTTGGGCGAGCCCACCCAATTCTCGCCCGCCTGGCGAATTCGAGGGCCATCGCATTCCAGAGACTCGGATGGACTCCGACCCCAAGGTTGCAGGTCCCTTCATATTGAGGATGGTTGGTTTGGGGGGGGGGGGGCCTACAAGGGGTCAACGTACCTCCTTTGAAGGTACCTGGACCACAAGGGATGGATAAATGGACCAGTCGAATTACGGGGGGGGCAAAGGGTGTCTTTCCCCCGTAAAGGGACTCACCATAGCAATCAACAGGGGTGAGGTGATTCATTCGAAGTTCCCATTACCAACCACCCCTCATACCCCGCAAAAAGAAAGGTGAACCTACCGCTGAGGAGGGCAAGCTTCGTAATGGCTTGGGCCATCTTGGGTCGGTGATTGAAGTAAGTCAGTGGCTTGCAAGCGCGAGCTCATGCCTCATCATCGAACATGTCGTCGTGAAACGGGAACTTTCCTGGCAGTTCGGTGGCAAGGTCCAAGCGCAAAGCGTGGCTTTGCAGTGATGCATGGCAAAACTGGAATAACCATGATGATCATCGTCGTCATAACATCTTCAGCATCATCATCATCATCATCATCATCATCATCATCATCATCATCATCATCATCATCATCATCATCATTGCCGTCTTTGTTGTCGTCATAATCATCATCATCCTCCTCATCATCAGCATTATCATCATCATCATGCGAGGCCCCCGGAAATGCACATGAGCGCACTGGTCTTTGTGGCAAATATGGAGTCCCCATGTCCTTCCCTAAACTATGAACACAATGGTCTACGGTTTTTCGTCAGTTGTTTACGTGGCCCTCGAGGAAAAAGTCAGGTCCTGTGAGCAGTCTGTACAGAATGACCCCGCAGGCAAAAATGTCTGAGAGGGGCGAGTACCTGGCGCGAAAAAGGCACGAGATGGAGGCCCTGCGGGAAAATCACCCACCTGTTCCGTGATACCTTAGTGAGATTCCCATGCCCATGAGAACTTCTCTAAAAACTTAATTCTGTTGGCCATTGGTATCAGAGATATAGGCCATAAGACCAGGCCCTCCACAGCCACGTATCTGACTTACCATTGAAGGCCCCAAACTCTATGGTTGGTATGGGTCATGGTTTCCCGACAAATCGGGAAAACCCCTCATCTAAACAGGTTGGCGCAATCCCTCTTCTACATGGGTTATCTCAAAATAGGGAAACCTTCAAACTGGTTGGGTTCATTTTGCTGTCCTGTTGAACCGGACCAAAAGGTGGGGTGCCCGGGGTGCCCCAAAACACGAGACATCTTTCCCCTCAAATCGTTGGCGAGGCGGGGGGGGGGGAGCACCCCATGCGCACCACAAAGCGAAGCAAGGGCCATGACGTTACATGCTGTGGTTTAACAAGAAGTGGTGGTCAGTTTGGAATTTACATGCCCCGCCCATGTCGTCAACGGGCCATCTTTTCTAGGATCCCAATCCTCCAAATTGCTTGAGCGCAGCGATGCATGTCTGATCCATTGCTCACATACCGCCAAGAACTGGTGGAACCTTTATCCCAAGAAATGAATGGCACAGCCCCCTTCATGAAGTCTACATAGGCCCTCCGCCAACTTCTATCACCAAGGTGTACCCCAGATTCCAAACCCTGAAGATACGGCTCGAAAGCCCCCCACAGTGAAATCGCACAGACAGAACAATGGCGTTCTCTGCCGAGTTGCCATTCCAATCAGGTCAAACCCCGTCACAAGTTCACACCGCCCCTTCCAAGCTGATCTATGGCCCCGTTTTGATTCGCAGAGTGCCCCAGAAAGAAGCGGAACAAGGGGTCCAGCGGCTCTTACGCTCGAGCGCGCGTTGAGCGGTAGTTTCTTGGCGACGGCATCAGGTGGGGCACTTCCCCGCATACGCTTCCTGGCGTTGGCATCGGCAAGCAACGGCAAGTCGCAATCCAAACCCAGGAAAATGGTCCGGCCAAATCCATGTAAAGCAAAGAAAACGCTCCGCATCCCATGGTTGAGACTGTCCCCCTATCCTGCAGTTACCCAAGTTTTGAGCAAGTAGCTCACCTTGCTTTGCAGAACTGGACATTGTCCTGGACCGGAGCATGCCGTTGTACCAATTCGCGAATCAGACCTGTTGGAAGAAGAATTGGACTCGTCTAGTCCGGGGAAGCAACCACCTCTTGCCTCAATCTGGCCCGAAATGTGACTGAGAGGCAAAGGAACCACGGGCACCATGTGTCCACAGCGCAGGGTACCACCGTTGCTGGTTTTCCTTTGGCTGTAACACGTAGAGCTCAGAAACCCTGGTTACCTATCATGTCCTGTAACAGTGGTAACTGTTTACGCGCTGGGGTACTCTTCAAAGGGGTGTGCCATTGGAGGACACCCAAAGGCTGTGAGTCGTGAATCCCCCGGGCGGTTTAGCTGTTTAGCGGTGCAGTCCTGTGCGATGTACTGATCCGTGCCAACCACGTCCTGGCGCGGCGGAAGATTTCAGCTCGGCCCCGGCATCCCGCCAATTTCAGTGGGGAGGAGGTTTTCAGGGCGTTGGAAGGTGTTGAGCCTTTTTGCTCGGGCCTAAGCTCTACCCAACAAACGGTAAGGTACAGACTGGGGTGTATCGGGGGCTCCAGGGTGAGTGGGGATGGTCTCCCACAAGCAAAACTTGCAACCTGCTAGACGCATCTTTGTTCCGTCCTTGTGGTAGACGGGCCTGTCTCCAATTAAATGGAAGGAGTCCACAAAAAGGCAACATTCCCTTTAGCTTCGCTTTCAATCAATCCCAACACGGGGAGAAAGTACACACAGCCACAGTCACAGTCACAGTCACCGTCACACACGTTACCCGAAGAAACATGTGCAAACAATCAAACAAAGAAAAAGGTGAAAGGCTCGGGTCCAAGAAAGTCGCTTGCCAGCACGTACATAGATTGGATATGGCGCGGCAGAATAGGGATGTGGACCCCAACAAGTTGCTTTTCCTTTTAAGGTGCCCTTCTGCTAACCTGAAACGGTTCCCTCACGAAACCTAGACACACACACACACACACATTTGCGGAACAAGGAGACCCCATGGCTGAGCTCCCTTCGAGGTCTAAACTTTTGGCGCCGGCCTTTGCGTTGGCATTGGCCGGTGACCAGGCTTCTACGGTGTCAAAGTCAATGACCTTGGCGGAGATATGGCTATCCCAGCGGCTCAAGTTACCAGTGGCACGGAAAACCATCACAATCTAAAGCTTAAAATACCTGGTTACCTGCCATAGTGGCAACTGGAAGCACTGGGTGTGATTTCAACAGGCAACCACCTCAAAAGTGATTGGTGGACATGTCACCTAAATGATGTCCACGAAAAGGTTCATTACATTGTTATAAAAGTGTATGCACGCGTTATAAGCCAACTAAACCACGTAATGGAACCACCTAATCATTGGGAAAGGACCTTTCTCTCGTTTTTATGTGAGCCATGCGTTAGCCGAGTGGCAGAGTTCCCTAGACTTCCCCTTTAAACATCACCCCTCCAAAAAGGACCCTCATGTTGAATCCGCTCAAAAGGTGTTGTTTCCAAACTTGAGTCAGAGCCCTACTAGCCCCTGATACACACTATGAGTCCCTAGGTGGTATTTTGCAATGGCCCCCGTCACGAGTGGCCGCTGATTCAGTGCATGAATGTTTAAAGCCGCCAACTATCAGAAGAAACAAGTACCTCGTTCTTTGCTTGCACCCCCCAAAGGATCCCTTTTCTTTCTGCCTTGACCTACCAACAAGGGGTACATTAAAAAACCGGTTTGGTCAGTCCATTGCCCACGGTCGAGTCAGCTGAGCCCGGCGCCTTCACAGCTTGGAGGTTGGCCCCTGACCTCAGCTTTCTCGCGCAAGCGCCAGGCGCGTTTGGAGCGGTTTTTTGGGGCCCCGCCAGCAGTGGGTAGATTTACTTGGACAATGTTCACCACTACACTTAGAAGCAACAAGGGCATTGCAAAAAAAACAACAACAGATAATACCAAACGTTGGCCCACCAATTGATCCGAGCAAGATTGTGGTTCAAAGAAAACAAGAAACACAAGCAGTTCCGAGATCGCATCAAAATGCAACCACTTTGGATATCCCTTTCTGGTGGTCCCGACATCATTTGTTGCAACAACGAGCCCAGCGAAAGCAGCCCAGAGAGAAGCCGATCAGACCTCCCAGATTCCCCAATCTTGGCACGTTTGACAACCTTGAGACCACAGCTGTCCTTGTTCAAAAGGCATTCGGCTTGCACCAAGACGTCTCTGTGTCTATATAACCGGAAAACCCAAAGAGTCGATGGAGCCAGCCAAACGCATGACATGTAACAGGGTGCCCTAGAGCATGTCAGAACCTTCCCCATGAAGTCCGTACTGGGGACACGGGAATAGGGATCCATTTTCGGGCAACCACAGGGTACCACCGACAAACCCCGTGGCACAGCTCTGTCTCTGAGCGCATTGACCAAGGACCCGGACAAAGACTTGGACGACTTGCTCAAAGCATCGCCGCAGTCGATCATGACATTTTCCAGTTTGAGGTCCTGCCAGTCGTGTATCGCTGAAAGGGACCTGCCTTTGACCCACAAAAAAGGGGCACAAAGGCAAGGAGGGGTTCCAGGCGGGTGGTAACAGAGAAGCTGTTGGGCGCCCAAAGTTTTGGACAGACCCAAATGCCGCCACCTTAATTACGCAAAGGGCAGGGTCAAATCGGGCCTGGACTGTGAGGAGTGCGCCTTTCCACTTCGTGGTACCCCTGGGAACAACGGCCTTCCGATCACGCGCAGGGGGCGGCCTTCGGTGTCACAAGAGCAGTGACTAGTTCAGCCCTTTTCACATGGTGGCGTCTTTGTTCGCACTCCATCTGGCGTGACAGAGTCATGCAGCGGATGGACAAAACCCTGCACCAGTCGCCAGGTAACTTGTCCCAGTCTTTGGTTTGATCCCTGGGTCGACAAAGACTATCCGTTGCTCCCACAGGGAACATGGACGTGGACATGGACAACACCCCGGAGCATTTGGGTGGCCTGCCATGTCCCCAAACTCAGGATCTGATGCGACCTGGACTTTTTCCTTTGACCCGAGGGGCACGTAAAAGCCAAAAACCTAGAGGTCCGGATTAATTCCAAACCCAACAAAGCCTTGGATCTCCAGGAAAAAGACCCACATAATGATAGTGTGTTTTACCCCCGAATCGGTGAGCTCGCCATAGAATAGGCAGGTGGCGGGCCAAGCCGACATCTTGATAGCTAAATCTCAATTTTCTTCGGCCTAGAATGTATGTTTACTGATCCGATGGAAATACACACTTCATCGCATTGCGCAAGGCCGAAAGACAGATTACCTGTGTTCTCGAGTTTCGGAACAATGTGCGTACTTCACCATCCACTTTGACAACTTGACAATCACAACTGACACGCAGCACTCCCTGGCACAAAGGATTGCACATGAAGCCGATATCACCCACGCAGGGATTCGAATGCGCAAGGAAGCCTTGTGCACTGCGCAGTGGGAGTGCAAGAACACCAAAGACCTGGCGAATCCGAGTCGAGCTTTGGACTTCTGAAGCTTGGGGAAGCCAACACGAAAACGAGCAATGGGTCTCAAGATTTCACGCATAGCTATCGGGGACGCCCCAATATCAAATGTAAGTCCCAATGCTTTGGGTTGGGATCTTTGAAACCATAGGATCCAGCGTTTTTTGAGCTGTACAAATTTGGGCTATGGATGTCTCAAGCTAGACAGGGGGTTGGTTTCCTTTGGGTTGTCTAAAGCCATCCAAAAACAACGCCATATTGTGGAAAGGACCAGTAGATTCCAACTGGGGTTCATCCATCCCAGAGTTGCCCGTCCGGGCCACCGCTTACTCCGGCTAAGAAGGCTTCGTGAGTTGGGCCTGTTTCTGCACATCTGGTCCTGTTGCCACGACCCAAGTGCCCAGTGTTGGGATCCTCGATGGTTTTGCGGCTTCATGGACAAAAGAAAGGGGCTCGGCCTCCAGTGGAATCCTTTTGACACATTCCCTGTGTGTCAATGACAAGACAAAGGACAATCCCTTCGGGGTCACAAGGCACAGAAAGGCCGGGCCCTGCTGCTTCCAACCCGCGTATTTTGTTGACCTCCATTTACCACTTGATTGGGTCAGAGGCAGGAAAACGGCAATTTGGCTAAATATGACAACAACGATAACTAGCAAAAATGGCAAGACTTCGAAGCCAACTAAAAGAGTAAAACGCAAACCCTGTCCAAGTCAACCGTCAAGGATTGGCTTTAAGCCACCAGGTCTTTTCCTGAGGCAATTGAGCGCCCGTGTCGCCCATTCAGCCTGCCTGGAGCCCCAAAGGATCCCATGTTCTGCCTTTGACCTACAAGAAAAGTGGTCAAAGGCAGAAAGAGGGAGGTTCATTGGGGGTTTAGGTGGGTGCGCCCTCATTGTCATCCCTAGTAAACTCACGTAAAATTGCCGTTTAGGGCTTTGTCTCCCATTCGGCCGGATCGGGGTAAGAATTTGGTAGGGCAACCAAAACAAACCGATCAGTTCTAGCCTCGTTGCCCATCTTTTGGAGCTCGAAGGGCTCATGGGAAAAGTCTGAGCCGGAATCCTCCGCCTTCACAACAAGCAATTGATTCAAGGATTGATTTACGGGGTTACCAAAAGGCCACGGACCGGCCAAGGGTCAGGGGCAAGCCTGATTCAGGCACAATACGGCCAAGCACAGCCGAATTAGGCGAAATTTGTCGCCACATCAGCCCAAATGTACGACCAAAAAAGGCTGTGCTGGTTAGGAGGTGCTTGGGGTGGGGTGGGGCGGCTTTGGTAGTTGGTGGGGATTCTTGAGAGCACTCTCTCGGAAGTTTCTTCAACGCGTCAGGGTGACTCTAGTAGCTGCCGCATGATCTCCCTGGTGGTGGTCACCTGAGCAATGCGAGCAAGCAGTCAGAGGAATAAGCAGGCCAAAGGACAATCATGTTTGTGTGTGTGTAGCTTCCTCAAACCCGTCTGGGCATGCTTTGTATTTGTTGTTTTGGCTTTTGCCGTTTTTGGGATTGGTGTAAAAGGGAATCCAATTTACACCAACTACTTGTCTGTGGTGACACATGGTCGGAACCCATTGAGGGTTGCCCAAACCAAGCTGTTTGCCAGACCGGTTCAGGGCGTGTCTACGTTATTCAAACTGGGGACCTCTAGTCCTAATTGAGGATGTCTTAAAATAGGGAACCCTAAAAATTGTGGTTTGCCTTTGGTGTCCCGTTTAAGCAGTAAAAAGGGTACCGAGCCTCCAAACAAACAGACCCGATTCGTAATCCGCGCGACACCAGTCGTTCAGTGACCCCATGTTCTATTCAATTTTGGCCATGCTTTGTGGGGAAGCCACCAAACAAAAGAGAAATAGGGTGCCACTGAATAACTGGCGCTTGCTTGGCTTTGGTGGTTTCCCTTTGAATTCCAATGCCTTTCCTTTGCCACACCAACGAAAGGGGCAGTGGTGGATTTCCATTGATCACCACGAGGATTATGCTTGTCTTTGTGTCAGCTCAAGGAACTTGGGAATATGGTTGAATAACCTCACACTAACCTTCCCTTTTGGGGTTTGCTTCAAAGGGCGACCACCCATTTCCGGGTGTCCATGTCTCATAATGCAAACAATCCAGTCACAAATTCCTAGCTGCTGTGGAAACTACCGAGTTCCCTTTGTAAAGTTAGAGAATCCACCCTGGTCCGCCTTGGAGAACGTCACTTGGCAAAACAGTCGCTGGCTGAGTTGCTGGGGTCCTTTTTCAGACTTCAAACACCTGTAGAAATGGGGACCACCACAAAAGACATAAGTTTAGGTTCAATGTCTTAGGGGCAATTGAAATAGGGAATCCCTGGAAGCAAGTTGGTGCCAGAAACGCCAGGCCCAAGCCGGAAGATTGAGGGACCGAACAAGGGGAAGTGCCTCTTATTGAAGCAAAGGAAAAAATGCTAGCATCCATTATTTATATTGACCATCATATCAATGACCCGAGGCCCCTTGGACCTTGTAACTTATAACCATGATTATCGCTCGATACGAGGGCCTAAACAAGTACTAAGAGTTTACCCCTCTCAGGACAAAAAAGGTCGATTTTAAAGTACCCCACCCCATTCTAAGTGCACAAATCCGACAATGGAAGCCGTTTTGCCCAAGGAAAAGCCCGCTGATTAGAAGGTTATGAGCCCAAAGGCGGCGAGATGATGGCCCGGCGCCGCAATGGCAAGGGCCGTGGACCAGGTGATGGTCCGGAAGAACGAGAAGGCCCGGGAGCTCCAGAAGGGCAAGATCCTGGGACCCCGCTCCCGCTGATGGACGCCGAAGAGCCGGTGATCACGGAGGCGAGCTCGCAAGGACGTGATGGTCAAGAAAAGGAGACGGGCCAATCGGGGCTCGGGAATGGGTCGCTGGAGGAGGGTCGGGGTCTGGAGCTGGTGGGTCAAGAAATGGTGGTCCATAGCGCTACAACAAGGACGCCGGCACCGAGGCGATCGGAAGATGTGGGGCCAAGGAATTTGTGGCCTGCAGCTACGGCATCGGGGAACCCCTGGGCATCGTCTGCGGATCCTGGTCGAGGACAAGGAGACCTTCAGAGGTGGAGTGGGGGACCTCAAGGAGAACCGGAGGTGTATGGGCCGCTCTTCACCCGGGAGCAGCTGGAGTACCTGGAAAGGTGGGACAGGCCTGGAGGCCTGGTGAATTTGAGCTCAGCAGCAGCAGTTCAGGAGCCAACACTGAGAAGGCCGGAGTTCCTGGAGAGAGAGGAGGCTACACCACAAGCAGGACCAGATGGAGGCGCCCGACCTCCACGACGGCATGATCAGGTGCAGGAGTACCTCTTGATGGAGATACAGAGGCTCAGAGCTGAGAATGACAGGCTCAGAAAGGGCAATCAGTCTGAGGAGACCTACGTGACGCCAGACGTCGAGGTGGAGAAGCGGGGACAAGCACGAGGGCCCGATCCAGGACATCGCGACGGCGGACCAGAGGAACGAAGACGAGAGAAAAGTCAGGAGCCTTCGGAGGAGCTGATCAAGGATGAGCAGACAACGGATGGGAACGCCCAGCTCAACATCATCTTGAAGCTCATGGAGGGTATGCAGCAGATCCAGAAGAAGATCATGAACGGTGGCAACAACCACACGGGCGAGGAAGAGAATGCGGAGGTGGTGAAGTCGGCGGTGGAGCTGCCGATGCTGCCGGAGCTAAGCGCGGATACCGGCCCGATCGACCTCCAAGATTGGTTGACGATGGTTGGCCCCGTGATGGCGGACCTCTCGGACACCAGCCAAGAATGGTGGGAGCTGATGCTGAAGCACACCAAGAAGTGGTACGACAAGTACATGACGGAGCCGCCCTTGCAGAGGTTGCTGCTGACTCCAACACCTCCGAGCGAGGTGTGCAATGGAAGGTGGAGGCGGGTGGAGCGTCGGGCGGTGACTTTGCTCATGAAGGCCCTGCCGGATCAGGTCAAAGAGGAGCTGATAGCGACTAAGAGCCTGGACGTGTTCTCTTTGATCTGCAGGCTGATGCTGCTGTACCAGCCCGGCGGAGTGGCGGAGAGATCGGCCATTCTCAAGAACCTGGAGCAGCCCCAGGAAGCGACGAGCATTCAGGCGGCGGTTCAGGGAATCAGGAGGTGGCTTCGATGGAGGCGGAGGGCGGAAGAGATAGGCGTCTCGCTTCCAGATCCGTCGGTGTTGAACAGAGGTTTGCAGAGGCTGACGAAGAAGGTTCTGGAGAACAACAAGGACCTGAACTTCAAGATCAGCCTGGCCAGATCAACCTTGCAGGTGGATACGGTGCCGAACTACAGCACCATCGGCACATACTGCGAGCATCTCCTGTCGGAGCTGGAGCAGCTGGTCCACACGGAGAAGAAGGTCGCAAAGGCCACGGACGCCGACAGCAAGGTGAAGAAATTCGAGGGAGCTGGAGCTGGATATGGATATGGAGGTGGAAAAGGAGGAGAATCCAGGGCTCCAAGAAAGGAGGGAGAGGCGCGAGAGAGAAAGCCTTGCCGGTACTACCTCACGGATGTTGGATGCAGAAGAGGTCGGCAATGCACCTTTGCCCACGACGCGAAGGACGACAAGAACAGATGCTACGAGTGCGGTGCCACGGACCACTACCGCAAGGACTGCACAAGGAAGCAGCAGGAGAAGACACCGGGCAACAAGATGGACAAGAGCCCTGGGAAGATCGCCAAGGTGTCAGAGGTCGAAGATGAGGAGAGTCGCCAGGAGGGTGATCAAGAGGAGACGTCATCGGCATCTACGGCTACCTTGAAAGGGGGCGCCAAGAACGCCAAGGACGGGAATGAAGGAGACGGTCTGCAATCGGTCTTGGAGGAGGCTGGAAAGATGCTGAGGTCCCTGAACATCAAGGCTTCAGCAGCGACGGATCGCAGAGAGAGGGAGGACCGGATGAATGACCTTCAGAAGCAGCTCGATCAGATGCGCAAGATGAGGGCTCTGAGGTTCGCGAAGGTGTCGAAGATCGACTACCAGCACGAGTATGGCCTGCTGGACTCAGGAGCTACGCACTCAATGAGGGGTGCATGCCCAGGAGACGACGTGGAGAACCTGGAAAAGATTCAGGTGGAGCTGGCGGGAGGAGAAAAGAAGGAGCTGCTCATGACGGCCGGGAAGGTCATCATTCACGAGGACAGAGATGTGCAGCCCATCGTACCTCTGGGCTTGCTCATAGAGAAGATGGGATGTGAGGTGACGTGGACAAAGAAGGGAGCTTGCCGATTGAGGCACCCAACCATGGGCGAGATCCCGGTTCAAACAAATGCGGGTTGCCCGGAGGTGGAGAAAGGCGTTGCTCTTGCCCTGATAGATGCCTTGGAGGAGCTTGAGGAGGGAAGGGACGCCAAGCTAAGCAGGATCAAAGAGGAGGACCGGGTGGTGGAGCTGATCAGAAGCGAAAGAGCCTTCAATGGAGTTCCGGGTGAGGTGATGGAGAAGGTGGTGGTTGCCCCGGCCAAGGACCTGAGCGGACTCCCCTTGAACAGATCCCGGAGGAGGAAACTTCAAGAAGGTTTTGTGGTTCACTTGTACGCCGGCGAGGAAGAAGGCTACACCCTCAGTCGGGCTCTTAAGGAGGTTGGAGGAGACAAGACAAGATTGGTGGAGATCGACCTGAAGAGAGGAGCCGATCACGACATGATGAAGGACGAGGTCTACGCGGCGTTGATGGGCGCGGCCTTTAACGGCCTGGTGCTTGGAGTCGTGGGTGGTCCGAACTGCCGCACCCGGAGCGTGCTACGACACTATCCTCTGCCAGCTGGAAAGCCAAGGCCGGTGCGGGGGGTGGCTCCAGAGCATTGGTTTGGCCTGCCTGGCCTCGATGAGGAGGAGAAGAGACAGGTCTGGGAAGACGACGTTCTCATGTACCGCATGATCATGCTCTACTGTGCGGCGGAAGAAGGAAGAAAGAACCGTGGACTTCGCGGAGCAGCGAAGACGGAGGTGGCATTCCTGCTGGAGCAACCCGACGTTCCGCAGTACATGCCGGATTGCGGATCCTGGTGGAGGACGGGCAACTTCCGAGACCTTCGGGACCAGCATGGGTTGGTGGAGTATAGTTTTCGACAAGGAGACTATGGCGGTGTGGCGGTCAAGCCGACGAGGGTGGTCACGAACCTCCAGCTGAGCATGCCGGCGACCCGGTCAACTACGGCGACTACGAGAGAGGAGTCTGCGGTGAGGTCATCGGCGACGTTATCCCGATGGGCACCGGGCATGATGAAGGAGGTTGCAAGAGCGCTGCAGGAGGAGGTCTTTGGGAGGCCAGAGAAGATGTGCAAGCTGAGTTGGCGCGAACATCTGCTACATGGGCATACTCCCTTTCGCCGGGACTGCCGAGTATGTCAGGAAGCATCAGCAAAGGGGAGGAGACATTGCAAGGTCGACTATCCCGAGGCGGCGGTGTTGAGTGTGGATCTCAGCGGACCGTACAAGCTGGGCAAGGACATCAACGACGCTACGTCGAGGTACTTCCTCATCGGAACGTACACATGGCCTTCGGAGGAGGAGCAGAAGGAGTTCTTCCCAAAGGAGGATGGAGGAGAAGCAGACGATGAGGCAGACCTGCCAGAAATCGAGGAAGGAGAAAAAGAGGAGGATGAAAAGGAAAAGGAAGAAAGGGAGAAGGAGGACAAGGAAGAAGGAGAGGAGCCGCAGGATGAGAAGGAAGAGGAGAAGCGAGCTAAGGAAGCTTGTGGCCCACCGAGACCATTGAAAGTGATCGTGATGGTGGTGCCGCTGCCGGACAAAAGGGGAAAGACGGTGATGGAGGGGATCCAGCACCTGTACATCAAGCTGAAGAGACAGGGATACCCCATCCAGCGGCTACACTCCGATAGGGGGAAGGAATTCCTCAACCATGGTCTTCGAAGATGGTGCTTGGTGCGGGAGGTGGAAAAGACCACGACAAGTGCAGACTCTCCCCAGGAGAATGGAAGGGCGGAGGCGTGCATTGGAAGCTTGAAAAGCAAAATCAGGAGGCTGCTGAAGGGAGCAGAACTGGCGGTGAAGTTCTGGCCGATGGCGGCTAGGTATGCGGTCGTGGCAGAAGAGAAAAGGCTGAAGGGGGAACGGATGGTGGCGAGCTTTGGAGAAGAGGTGTGGGTTCCAAAGAGGTCCTGGAAGAAGCTGCAGGATCCGTTTGGGCCGACCCATGAGAAGGCGCGCTACTTGGCCGAGATCCCGGAGGTCACGAAGGGACATGGAGTTCTACGTCAAGATGGAAAGATTGAGGTGGTGTCCAAGGTGGTAACCGGAGTGAGGGAACCCAAGGACGAGGAGCCAGAAGAAGAAGAAGGAGAAGCACATGTGGTGAGGAGAAGAATTAGAGAAAAGACCAAGCCGGAGGATCTGGGTGAGGAGTACAGCCGGTTGGAGGCTCTCAAGGAGCTCATCATGGAGGAGAAGAAGGCCACTGCCAGAGACGAGGGGGAGATCCTCGGGATCACGGCGGTGAAGCTGCGAGAACTGCAGATAGAAGAAGCAAAGGTTCAGGAGGAGATGTACGGAAAGGAAGAAAAGCAGGTGCTGCAAACGAGGATAGCAGGACCGGCTGAGGTGATGAGATGAGAGACAAGGAGGAGTGGATCCCGGCTATAGAAGCTGAGATGAAGTCACTTCTGGAGGAGAAGAAGGCGGTCCGCATTGTCACGGGCAAGGAGGCGAGAGAGATGATGGAGGACCCGAGATACAAGGTTGATCTCATGCCGGGAAAGATGGTGACAACTATCAAGGCGCCCAACGGAAAGAAGAAGTGCAGGCTGGTAATCTGCGGAAACCATGCCGAAGGAGGAGGAAGAGATCAAGAAGAGTCTCTATATGCTGGTGGGTCAGACGCGATGTCTATCAGGACGGCGACGAAATGTGCAGCGGAGAACAACTGGGAGGGAGTAGTGCTGGACATCAAGACGGCATTCCTCAATGCTCCGCTACACGTCCAGGACGGCAAGAGCAAGCAGAAGAAGGTTGTTCTGATGAGACCCCCGGCAGTGCTAGTACGGTTGGGACTTTGCAAGTCAGATGAGTACTGGGCGGTGGAGCGTGCTTTGTACGGCTTGCGGGAGTCACCGAGAAGATGGGCGGTGTTCCGGGACGAGAAGGTTCGGACCTTGCAGTGGCAGAGAGGAGCGCAGACCTTCTGGATGGAGCAGTCCATCGCCGACCCGAACGTGTGGCGGATCATGGGAAGTCAGGAGAAGGATGAGGAGCGGCGTGGGACGAGCTCTACGGCAAGAACTGGAGGTCCTACTATGAGCGGAGGATCATCAACGGCAGGATCAATGGAGTGGACACAGGAAGGTCACCTTCAAGGGCTGGCGGTAGTCTATGTGGACGACATACTGGCCTACGGAGGGGAGCAAACCCTGGAGGAGTTCGTCCACCAGGTGAAGGCAATGTGGGAGACTAGCACCCCGGAAAAGATACAGGAGAGCTCCAAAGTGCGCTTCTGCGGCATGGAGATCAGCAGGACGAGCCGAGGGTATTTCCTGGGGCAGCAAGCCTACACGCAGGAGGTTCTCAATCGGAACGGCGGAGGTGGACTTGGATCGGTTCTCCCGATCACAAGAGAGATGGCGGAAACCCCGGAGGAGCTGGATATCACGGCAGCCGAGGTTCAGGCAGCTCAAAGAGCGGTCGGAGAAATCCTATGGCTGACCACGAAGACAAGGCCGGACCTGATGTACGTTACAAGCCGAATGTCATCGGCGGTGACAAAGGCGCCGAAATGGGTCATGGAGTTGGCCGACCAGGTGTGGCGCTATCTGAAGAAGACAAAGGAGGTGGGCTTGTGGCTGGAGCGTCAGGTCGGAAATGGAGAGTCAGGCCTTGAAGGGAGGAGGATCGAGGTGTATACGGACGCATCGTTTTCCCCTGGCGGTGGTCTCAGCCACGGTTCGGTGGCAGTGCTCTGGAATGGAGGTGCTATTGCGTGGAGGAGCTCAAGGCAAAGTTTCCCGACTATGAGTACCGCGGAATCGGAGCTGGCGGAATGCTTGGAGGGCATCGTCATGGGAGAGAGCGTCGAGGCCTTGGTGGCGGAGATAGAAGAGGCGGCCGGGAATGCCTATGTGAGGCAGCTGTTGACGGACAGCTCGTCGGCTATAGCAATAGCCTCGGAAGGCAGCGGCAGCTGGCGGACTCGGCATTTGAGGGTGGGAGCCTACAACCTCAGGTGGAGGCTGGATGACCAGAGCTGGACTATTCATCATGTGCCGGGAGTTCGCATGCTGGCAGACCTGGGCACGAAGGCGCTCAGTGGGAAGAGAATGGAAGAGCTCAGGAAGCTCTGGAAGCTGGAGCAGTACGACGACCAGAAGGAGGACGTCAACCAGGAGGAGCAGATGGGCATGGATCTGAGAGAGGAAGCCAAGCTCGCTGGCCAGAACATCCCGGTGGACGCAGAGATGGTCACGGGGGCAATCAAGGTGCTAACCATCGCGAGCCTGATCTCCCAGGTGCAGGCGGTCAAGGAGAAGTTGCCGGAAGGCGAGATGGAGGATGACGAGTCCCTCAAGGCGCTGATGACCATGGTGAGCGTCCTGTCGATCGTCCTGTACAAGCTGGTGGAGATGATGTGCACGCGCCAGGTGATACCGAGGATGAGAGCTATGAGGGCTCGAGGAGTTGGTGCCGACCCCGAGGAAGAAGAAGAAGACGAACACTCAGAAAGGGGCTCAACCGCAGGGAGGCGAGGAGCAACATCGAGGGCTCCGTCTACGGCAAGGTCAAGTGGGGCGGAGGCTTCAACGTCAGGTATGACAACGGGAAGCACAACTACGGCAAGAGAGAGCTCTACGGCACGAAGGGTGGAGCCTACAGCGAGGGGATCGACTTCGGCAAGTTCGGGTGCTAGGCAGTTGGGCGCATTGCCCAAGTTCAGGCCCAACACCAAGGGGGCGTCGAAAGGAAAGCAGAAGGGAAGAATGATTCCTCGGGCAGTTCATGAGCCGGAGCCTGAGGATCGAGAAGGGGCTGACCCTGAGCCCGACGCGGATGACGACTACATCCCCCTGGAGCCATCGATCTTCTTCACACCCTGTGGGGAACGATATCATGTGCGGCATGATTGCTATGGGCTTCGGAACGCTATGCGTCAGACAGAGGCGCTCCCGTGCCCCAGATGCTGCACACCGGACTATAGGAGGCTGTTGCCTTCGACCAGAGGAACCCTCTACATCAAGCAGCCGGGCATCTACCATGTGGTGAGCCTTTGTGCGGATCCGAATCGTGAGGGGTTGCACTGCCTGACCACGTGCCGCTGCTGCTTCGAGGGGCGGGTGACATGGTGAACTATGAGTACGGCTTGAGCCTGGCACAGGCATTTTGTGAGGGCGAATTGCCCATAGAGCAGAGCCGATAAGAGGCCTTTAGTTTGGGCAGGTGCATGCCACATGGCATGGACCTGGGAGGAGTGCACAAATCCGACAATGGAAGCCGTTTTGCCCAAGGAAAAGCCCGCTGATTAGCACTAAGTATTTGACATATCTTCTTGCTGGTGTGATAAGTAGGGTCCCTGTGGGAATGAAGCCAGGGGTTTCCTTAAAGGAGACCACCAGTGGGATAGTTTATGGGGGGCATTCCCTCATTCCCTGCCTATCGCACCACCGACTTCAACCTAGGCGCCGGGATCTTCCGCATCTGCTCCAGGGTTTCGAAGAGGTCGAGGCCCCCAACCTGCGTGACCAGTTGGCGGCTGAAGGGAATCTGAACCTATTAATCTACAAATCCGTTTTGGAGGAGACCCTGGAAGAACAATTAAGTGGAAGCCTTTATAGGGTTGACCTTTGCGCTTGATTCTAAATCGGAACCCGCTAGTATAGCGGAAATGGTCCAATGGAGGTGTGGTTGACCTGATCTCAAGTTGGCTGCTTTGGGCAAGAGTAAGAAACAACTACAGAACAAGCTTCATTGGCTGGAATGCATGAACCAAACACATATAATATATATATATATATATTAGAACCCTGGCATTGCCGAATCAACCGTTGCTTATGGCTTCCTGTATTCCCAATTGCGTTCCCCTTACCGTGTTTTCGTGAGTCAACCACAATTAAATGGGGTCCTATTGGTGGTGGTTCAGCGTTGGAACCCAGCATAACCCAGCCCAAGGAGCCCAAAATGGCTATGGCTGCACATGTGGATGCAGTGGGCCTGTGAAAGCTAGGTAGTTGTCTATTGGGCGATGTTGGACCGCCAGTTTTCGACATATGGGTGTGCCAGAATAGGGGACCCAAACATTGGTGGGATGCCAAGATGCCCCTTTGGTTCCCCTGAAACTAGCCCCAAAAAGGGTTGTTAAAAAAAGACACGCCCGTATCGAAGGGATGGAAACACCAGGGAGCCATCAGTCAGTAAGCTCTCAGTAAGTTTTGCCTGCTAACCAACCCGCCAAATTCACTCAACACTTCGACCCGCAAGTCGATATGTTGCTGGTTGACAGGGATAAGGAAAACCACAAAGGCAAAGACATGAGAGTACTCATGGTTGGTTTGTAGTTGCAGGGACATCTCGACACTCAACATGGCGGGATTCAAGAAGCAAAGCAGCAACGCAGGTCGCTTTCGTTCTTCACACGCGTGCAACAGAAGCAGCTGCGATTGAGCTAGGTGAATTTGATTTGGATGCCTTTGTTGAGGCCACCTGTTTTGGGCTGCTTTAAGCAGCTTTGCACATAAAACAAAACAAATGCAAGTTGTTCAAGGTTGCATTGGGTTGCATGGAATTTGCAAATCAGCCATACAAGTCCGCGAGCCGTTTGTGCGGAACCAAACGTAGCTTCAGCAGGATCGCCTTCTCCATCACGATGTAGAAGGCTGTGGGGTCCTGACACAGATCCCAGTGTGCAGCCAGTCCATGGGCCTGACCTTTAATATGGGACTGGTGGAAACTTATGCCCCCGTGTTGAAGAGTGTTCCCATCAACGAACACGACCGTTAATTAATTGCCATGGCCACAACTCCTTATGTGGCCCACGGTCTAAAGTCTGAAATCCACTAATGATCTCACCCACTAGAGGATCCATGGCAAGACCAAACCCCATGTAAGGTCTTCTACTTGGATGTTCAACCAACTTAGCAAGTGGGTTGCAGGTTTGTTGTTGAAGGGGGAGTGGTACAAGCAACAGAGCGGAGGTGGCCAAGCAGCAGGCCCTACATCCCAATGCATGTCCCTAGTTCATTCCGTCCGTTAGCAGAATCGTACACGTCTTTGCACAGTTCCTTGGGGGGGGGGCCGGCCATACCTAAGGCTGCATTCGTGAAAGTAAGTGAGGTTAGCCCTCGAACCATGGTCATAACAAACTTGCTAACTTGGTTGAGAACCCAAGTAGCCATGGCACATAGGTTCAACAAAGCATGCCCCTTTGCCGCAGCATAGCTTCCAGGGTCCCTTTGGACTTATTCCCATTTGGGTGGGCGTTTTGCAGGGTACCCTCTTGAAGGTTGTTTTAACCAGGAAAGAGAGCTGAGGAAAACTCGGCTCTCTGGGAAGGGAAGTGTGGCACACTTTGATACCGAGCGTAGCACTGCTGGCAACAGAACTGCGTCCCAAGTGATCAGAAACTGCGTGTCCAAGTCACAAGGCCCTGCGTTTGCGCTACCCTTTTCGGGCTTTCTTTCATGGGGAAATCACCGGAGGGGTACCCATGTTCCTTTTGTTGGGTTGCGAAGGCACGACATGAACTCTGCACATGTGTGGGCCTCTGAGGGAGAATCGCCTGAAGGCTGTTCATAGCCAAGGTCCAAATTACGCCCATCAAAAGGACATGGGAATTGTAGGGCTTGTCCATGTGAAGATTCGCGAGTCCCCCCATGCCCGTTTCTTGCACATGAACCGTACACGCATTTTCGACCGATGTCTTCCAAGGTCCCTCAACGCAAGGGCTTCATTTCACCCGACTTGGCAAATTGCTCTGGGCCAAAGGGCCCCAAAGTGCCTTGGCTGGCGGAAAGGATTTTAAATTTGCGCCTTGCCAAAGCACTCTTCCGGAGAGTTTGCAGATCTTATTTTGGACTCTCCACCAAGGGTGACCCCAAGAGGTGCTAAAGAATTTGCAAGGACCCGAACAGGGAATGGTGGTTCAATAGAAACCAGGCACCTGAAGGATGCAGGCCCCAGCAAAACTTGGGGTAGCTATGACATGTCCACTTTGGATTTGCATCAAAAGGACCCTCCGGAGAAACCTGAGGTGGAAAACATCCCTTTTAAGTGGGAACATGATCTTAGCGGAAGTTCCGATCAACGGACTCGACATGATCTATGATGTTGTGGGATCCCCCTTCGAATCGCTCCGAACAGTGCTCAAGGAGTTGTAAGAATTCAAAATGAACATATCGTGGATTTCTCTTGAACTTTGACCAGCCCCTTGCTGGCCTAGTGCCCGTGCGAAAACAGGACATGGTTGATAACCAATGGGAAAGGCCTTCTACCTAGCGCACACCTAAGAATTGACAACGCAATGGCTCCTTTGGCAAACATGAGGTCAGCAGAGAACACCAAGATGTGGCAATCTCTTTGATGAGGACCCGGAAACACACTCTGCTATTTAAACTGCAACCTCCTTATGCTCACGAACCTCAATTGTCCAAGGGCTTGTAAAGGGCTTGTGAATGAAAGGGTAACCTGTTGGGGCCATGACTCATTTGAACAAGCCCTAAGCATCATTGGGCACCATTGCAGAAGTCATTGGAAGGTGTCCAACCTCAAATAACCCCTCTGTGTGAAGTCCCAAAAAACATAGGAAAATACAAAGCTCTCTAATGGCCCCATACTGCGTCCATACAGACCATCAGGCCCGAACTCAAACCCGATTTCCGGATCTCCTCTATGACCTCGTAGACATGGGCAACGCCCAAACTATCAGGTAGATTCAGTAGAAACCTGGGCAAGTTGTGGGAGCATGAGATAAATCTCTGAAGAACCTTCATTTATCTGAAGCCTTGAGATCCCTGGACCTGACTCTACAGAACCCCTGTGTTCTGCTTTGGCCTACAAGAAAGCCGCAAAAAGGCAGCAAACAGGGGTTTGATGGGGGAGATCATGAAAACCGGAGTGGGGGTCCGGTTTTGAGGCCGATCCCTTTTGGATTGGGGCTTAGCTAGATCTCACCCTTTCGCACATGCTACTCCCAGAATGGCCCGAAAGCATAGTTTTTTGCGTACAACTTTATACTCCGAAATTGCCATGCTCGAGAAGGAGCGAGCGTACTTAGCACCTGTCTTTTTTTACACTGAAACGTTGGGATGTGCCAGCTGCTTTTAGAGCGCTGCCGTTCTGAACTCAAATGTACGCATGAGCCCTTGTTTCTCCAAACGTGCATGGAACAAATGCGTTGTCCCTTGCTTTTGCGAGAAACCTACGTTGTCCCTTCATGCCCTCCCATCCCCGAACCAATTAGTAGACTACTTTTGGGTTTCGCCTTGCCATCTATAGGTCGCATGACACTGGCAGGATGCTCTGTACGACTACGCCAGCACTGAAGGCCACAAACACGCAAAGCAGAGGCACATTCGCAGAGCCTGTGCTGCCTCTTCGTACCTCCCGTAGAATAGCCAATAGCAAAATTGATCTGCAAACATTGGGTAGCTGAACACCGACGTTCATACAACCCTTGCGCGAACTTTGCAAAAGCGCCACCTGCGTGGCATCACGCTGCAAGACTGCCACAGAAGAACACTGACCATGGTCATGTACGTAGTCCCGTTGCCGGGTCGTCCAGGAATTCAGCGATGTGGCAGCATGCCAACATCCGTTGAAACAGGCTGCAGTGCGAACAACAGACCAACACCAACACTAGTTTTGTCATTTGCTCACGTGTAAAGGCCCTGTTGCCCTCCCATGACTACGGTATCTCTTCAAAGGGGATGTCCCAAGGGCCCCACTCCCTGATGTTCTGCACCTGAAATCATGCTTGTTCCACATGAATCGGTCCAGGCTCCAGGCTCGGTATTTTGACGCCAGTTCTTCTCATCCTGGCAAGCAATTGGCAATACGATGCCCGAATCTCACCTTCCCAGCCTCAAACCACCTGGTCCCAAAGGATCCCTTCCTTGACGACCCAAGCGAGGCAAAAAGCGCCAACCAGGCCGATGTTCTAGGTCAACGTTCCATGGAGAACTTCCCCGGTATGGTCCTCCAGGTTTCGATTAGGTGAAATGAGGGCAGGGGTTTTGGCGCTTTTGCTTGGATCCTTTTTCTTGGTTCTAGGTTGGTTTCAAGTTGGGTTTGAGGGGCAATTGTCTACAAATGTATGAAGGGTCCGTGACCACTTGTAACTACCAGCCCCACTGAATCTTACCACACCGAAGGGCACGAACAACCAACAATACTACCACAAGCCAATGCCCAATCTGCAAACTAGGACATACCCTACCCCAACGCCGATCTCCTGTTCGCATTTCTGGTGGCAAGTTGATCTAGGAACACCCCCTCGAACCACACAAACAAAAATAACACCACCGGAGGTCTGGGAGTCTGCCTTCAGAACATTCAGCTCGATCCCTCGCCTGTCGGCTTCGGAAGCAGCTGGGCTTAAACCGCACCTTCACCACAACCTGGCGAGTCGAAACCGAGACGAAGCTCGCCCTGGGCGCTGGCAAAGGGGAAAACCACATGGCTGCCTCGGTTTTTGCTCCCAACAACAAAAAAGAAGTCCAGAACATGGCGTCAGGACCTGCGTTGGAAGGCGTTGGACATCATGGCCCAAGATTCGGGCAGAAAGTTGTAGTAAGTTGTAAAGTTTAAACGGACGTGTCAAAACCGTCTAAAATGAGAAGCGTGGCAGGCATTTTGAGGTTCAAGCTAGCTTGGCATGGTGTGGAATTGTTTGCCCTCCAAACGCTATGACCCTTGCGCACTCTTTGAGGAGGGTGGCAGGGTCCCTAGCTGGCTTATGCAAATTCAGTGACTCAAGAGGGGGGGTGTGTAACCTTTCTGGGGGGGGGTCGAAGCGTCGGTGTTGTCTCTCCTAGGGATCGCGCCCCAAGCTGGTGTGATGTGTGTGTGTGTGTGTGTGTGTGTGGGTGCGTGTGTGTGCGTGCGTGCGTGCGTGCGTGCGTGCGTGCGTGCGTGCGTGCGTGCGTGCGTGCGTGCGTGCGTGCGTGCGTGCGTGCGTGCGTGCGTGCGTGCGTGCGTGCGTGCGTGCGTGCGTGCGTGCGTGCGTGCGTGCGTGCGTGCGTGCGTGCGTGCGTGCGTGCGTGCGTGCGTGCGTGCGTGCGTGCGTGCGTGCGTGCGTGCGTGCGTGCGTGCGTGCGTGCGTGCGTGCGTGCGTGCGTGCGTGCGTGCGTGCGTGCGCGTGCGTGCGTGCGTGCGTGCGTGCGTGCGTGCGTGCGTGCGCGCGTGCGTGCGCGCGTGCGTGTGCGTGGTGCGGTGGGTGGGTGGTGGGTGGTGGGTGGGTGCGTGCGTGCGTGCGTGCGTGCGTGCGTGGGTGGGTGGGTGGGTGGGTGGGTGTGTGTGTGTGTGTGTGTGTGTGGGGGCGATAGTTTGTCACTTGGCTTTGTTGTGTCTTGCCTCGGCAAGGGTTTATAAACCCTTCTTTTATTTGCAGGGCGTGTCCGGGGTGTCAAACATTTAAAGCAGTCATTCCATGTTATGTTTCCTGTTGCTCTTCTTTTCTCTCTTTTTTTATTGGGGGGGGGACTCCCAACTCAAGCGCCAACTTCATTGGGTTCAATGATCCAAGAGCTCAGTCCATAGCTTCCACAATCAACATTGACAACACACTCAAACGCCAGCAAGAAATCAGCTTGCCTAGTCCTTCCCAACATTATATAGGGAACCTCAAACTGGGCGGCTGAAAATGGAGTCCTCATCCGCGATCTCTGTTACAAAGCCACTTCAACGGGGATGCCTTGGTAAGGTAAGGATTCAGGATTGTCTTTGAACAAATGGAGGTGAAACACAAGTAGCCGCCCACTGGCACCAACATGAAAGTTCACAATCCCCTTTGTAAGACTGCTTTTCTTTTGAACACCGACGTGCACTGTGCACTTCCATGCTTGCTGTGGGAGGCTAAAACCCACTAGGAGGGATCCCCTATGCTCGCACCAATGTTTGTCATTGGCAAATCATGGTCACGAACCAACCCAAAACTCCCGTTACAATGGTAGACTGAAGCACCGCAGTGGGGCTTAACCGGGAAATACACCGCAACATAGTGAAGCCCCACCATACTTGTCAGCAAAACAAACAATTGAAAGGAAGACGAACCTGTTTATCTACTACAGTGTTCATTGTACTCCCAAGCCACGAACCTCGATAGGTGCAACTAGACTGTATATCCCTCGTATAGTGGTCAAATGTTGTATATATTCATACATCGTGGTCTCGATTGGCCACGAAAGGCAATTTGCGGAGGATCCTGTGAGGAAAGGTAGGCCACGCTCTTGTGGTATTTTTGCACGTGCTGCCTGCCCCCCCATGTCATCCCCTACAGTGTGAATATTGACCAACAGACCTCCAGTGACTATGGGCGGAAAAGAACTGGCACCCCGTTGTTGTGGTAGACAACCCCTCTCAAAAAAGGAAGCAACCTCCTGCCAAACAGAAAGGGGTGGAAAGCCTGGTCCTTCAACAAAAAAAGGGGTGGACCGGTGCCCGTGCCCAAATGCCGGCCTCTTGCTTGTTTGACTTCCGTGTGGCAAAGTTCACCTGTGCAAGTTCGAGCAACTGAGGCAATGACCATGGTATAGCTGCGTTAACTGGGGTTCGTCTCCTAGTCACCAAGTGGATTGAACGCACAAGTACTCTCTTCAGGGAAGGACCCCAAAAATGTTAGGGTATGCATGATGGTTTCCCCTGACTACCCTCTATAGCGGTAACTGGAAGCACAGGGTTTGCTGCTAGCAATTCAAACCCTGAGGCATCCCTAAGTAGAGAACCTACATCACGGTGAGATCGCTTTTCTCGTAGGTGAGCTTGCCTTAAAGTAGGCAGGGACTGGGGTCTCTTTTTTGGAGTTGAATCCCCTGGTAAACCTGATCGTGCTATTTCCAAGCCGCCTATTGGAGAATATCGCATTTGAAGACCAACCCATGGCATGGAAGGCCCTGTTTCTCCAACCCACTGGTTTTTTGACCTCGGCTCACCAAATTGTGGAATTTGGCGATGTACCCCCCCCCCGCCCACATGGAGGTGCAGAAAGACCACTAACATTGGCCGGGGCGCGACGGCAATATTGCTGGGGCTCCTGTTTAGGGTTTTGATGGTCCCGTAGCATGCCCGCAGGAAAGCACGGCGTATATTTTGTGGCGAGGATTATTATTGAGGGACAAGTACGGGTTCGAAAAATTGGCTACAGCCACCAAAGCACAAGCACAATAGCATCATCCGAAAGGAGCTCATATTCCCCATTGAACGGGTAAAACTGGAATCCTTCGAGCTTGATCCGGCGTTTGACTTTATTTTGGATGGGCAACGATGGCACATGATCCCCAGGTATGATTGTTTGTGTCTGTCGACCCCCCCACCTGCTTCGCCCTTGGGTGCGGTTCGACGATTTGTTGGGTCAATGGGACTGGGGCTCGTGGCAAAATAAGGCGAATTGCTACTGAAACCGAGGCAACTCTGAGCCCCGAAATGTATCCCAGTGCTTCCAGTTGCAGTAGAAACTAGAAACCACCATGTAAAACCTGGAGGTAAGAATCGCTGGTTGCCTACGGTGGCAACTGGAAGGCACTAGGTAAGTCAGGTGCAAGGTCCAAGCCAAAATGCATCAATGTCACAAGACTGCACACATATGACATGACTCCCAACCAGAGAAACCAGGTTCAGAATGAGAGAAGTGTGACCAGCTGCTTGAAAACACCACGCACTTGGAACAAGCATAGCATGCCGGCCCTCTTCACTGCTCTGTTTCATGGGGTACACCCCAGCAGAAGCTGCATGTCTTCACACACGCACACAGAAACACAAGCAGGGACAGAAACAAACGAGAATCCGGGCGGACCAAAAGGAACAGAGCAAGAAATAACACAAGCACACACCAAGGCTGTGTAGGACTTGTCAACCTCCAACGCTCCCAGCCTTCATGTACCTATGTGTCGAAGGCATGACTTCCTTGCCCATGTCGTAGAAGTCAGCAAAGCTGGCAACGTTCTGAATGGTCCTGCCAACTTCCGAGGGAAAACAACAGGACATTCATGTTTCTTTTGTGGACGTTGATGAAACCAGAAAAAAAAAAAGACATGTCCCAAGCAGGGGCCCCTATGTTAAGAGACTTCATTGCTTTACTTTCCCTTCAAACCCACCTGGTGGTTTGACTCATTTTACTTTCCCTTCAGACGCCACCTCCAAATAGGCACCACGAGAAGCAGTCCCAAGAAACGGACCGCAACTTTGGCTCAAATCCGTTGCTCCCTTCCGATCTTGCCGGCGGGTCTCAATTTAGGACTGCATCTCTACTCTTGGTATGGTAGCAAAAAACTTTGTTTTTTGCAGACCCCCAGTAAAAATGAACAGAACCAACAAAACTAAAAACCAAAAAACATGCCAAGAACAGTGAAGACTACATACCGCTAGGGCAGGCAGGGGAAACCATCATGTAAGACCTGGAGTCTCCGAGTCTCCCTGTTGGGCACTTGCCACCTGGGGTCGGACATTGGGTGTGGAGCTCCTCCAAACAATCGTATGATACTAGGTCCTCCAGTAGAGAGGTTAGAATAATTAAGGGAACCCTTTTTGTCTGCAGTCTATTTTAGTAGGGGAACCCTCCCCCAAGAAAGGGTAAAAGGATGTAAAAGGGCACTACTGGGGGACCTAGGATACTCCCTTTGACCCCTGCAAACTGTCCAAAGTCTTTGGGGGGGAATTTGGGGATCCTGATTAGAAGCCCCTTTAAGCACTCCACCAAGGACAAACTCCAAACCTGGCAGGCAGACGTGCCAAAAACGTTGGGGATGTAGGCACTTGCATCCCCCCAAACATGTGAAAAAGAGGTCTTAGGTTTTATCCAACAAAAAGACACACTCCGGAGAATCGGGCGCTGCAATCCTGGTTCGACATTGGAAGGATCCCAGCCCCCACTGGCGTGGTCCAACTGCAAACCTCCTGGACGGGGGTTCAATGGACCGATTCCTTTTGCTGCCATACCCCTTTTTGGAATTTCGTCGAAAAAATACCTCTCTCTTCTTGAAGTCTCCTGCTGAGCCTTCGACAATAAGGCCATGACCCCGTACATTTAGGTACAACGACCCCATCTTTTAAGGGCCGTAGAGACTTCAGGTTTCCGCAAAACAAGGTCGGATGGTCAATTCGGCAAACCCAGACCTCCAGATTTCCAGGAAAATTGGTGCCCTGCACCAATTCCCAAGGTCCTGATCCCTTCCAATGAAGGGGCCCTTGCGTGAGGGGCCGGTCGGTCAAAGGGGACCCCGCGCCACGCCCCACCCGAGCGCAGAGCGATCCCCCCCCACACCCGCAAGGCCTCACAGGGGGTGGCCTGCCGGGAAAAAGCCGCACTGGGTCTTGAAAGGAGGTCTATGGGGTTGGTCCTTCAAAAGAGTTGCTTCATTCTATCCAACAAAAATATTGGTTTCTTGAGTTCACCAAGTGACAGGTCGGATTTGGAGCATAGGGCCACCCAGTTGAAACAGGCTGGGCCACTTTTGCCCCGCTTCCTTTTCAATGCCCTAAACGACTCCTTTTCTTCCCAAGCCCTGCCAGCAAGAAACCTTGGCTGCCGTCAGAAGCCAACTCAAGAACAAAACGAAGAAAGCACCAAACTAACACACATCACCAAGAACAATGACAATTCGGAGTTGGGTTTGCCTTCAAATCGGACTCCCCGCCCTGCTTGGACGGTATTCAAGGCAAACGAAAGGGATTCCCGCTTGGAGGGCGCCTTAACACGATGCTACACGACACCATTTGCAGGAAAACGCTCGAACAGGCCAGCTGATTGGCCGTGAGGCCAGATCGAGGCAGCAAGGGGAACCTACCCCCATTCAAGGCAAAAAGGGGGGAGGGGTGAGTCCCGGTGGTTGTGTGCACTGCGCCTACACCTACAGCACGAGTTCTTGTCTCTCGCCTTTTGTGCCGCCTTTGCCTTTTGTGCCCTTTCTGTGGGTCTTTGGTCCATCCCTTGATTTAAAGCTGATTTCTGAGATGATCGCTCGCTGTACTTGATGTTGAAGGTTCCAAGTCCAATCCACTGGGAAGAAGTATCAGGCCTTCGCACCCCGTATAAAAGGTTCCAGAACCCTTTCAAGAACAGAACTTAAGTGAATTGCTCATGCGACCTGAGAAACTGGTTGATTACCGTAGATTTCCTGCAAAACCCATTTGCGTAGCCAAATGGTCTCCGGTCGCAAACCAGAAAGTCTAAGGTTCCTTCCGACCGCTGGGGCGAAGCCATGGTCGGTCTCCAAGTCTATCAGCTACAGGAATCCTAAGTCCGACAGAAAAAGAAGCACTCGGTTGTATTTCAGTGTTCTTCTTGGTTGTACAAGAAACCTTTTGACCCTGACCATTTCTTCAACCCAGAGCTTCCAGTTACCACTAGTAGGTCACCAGAGTCCTGAAACCAACTATGTCAAAGCCTGGTAACAAACTATAACTACCTCTGCTGTCTTGCCTGGAAGAACTAGGTATTCATATTCGGGCCTGACCATTTCTTAAGCCCGCTTAGCAACTAGACCTCATAGCTAGACACTTGCGAGGTTGTAACAATTTGATCGGAACTGTCCGACAGAATGCCAATGCCAATTTAATCTGCCAAAGGACCCAGCGGCAAAAAGGTGCACATGGGTTCATTCGGACCCGATCCAAGTACCGGTGGGATCTAATTCTGACCCACTTTTTTTTTTTTTTTTGGGGGGGGGGGGGTGTCCCAATTTGGCGAGAGCCCACATTATTTTTGGGAGCACACCCTAACAACCAGGTTGCCAAATCCCGGGTCAACATTGCCCCAGGCATAACTCCGCAGTTGGGCGTGTCTCAGCGGACCCCCCAGACAAAAAAAAGTCCAGTTTAGGAGTCCATTTTGAGACAACCCCCTGGTGTCTCTCTCGCTGATCGGCCGATCGCCGATCGCCCGGCGCCCGCCTGGGGACGGCCGGAGTAGGCCGGCTTGTCGAATGGTGGATCTTCCCATATCGCGCTTGCAAAGTTTGCGGCTGCGCCATGGCGCCGTGTGTTCGCCTCAACGCGAAGGCCTCTGGGTTCAAAGTTGAACAAGAAATCGGGGTCCAATCGAGCAAACGTTTGGGCGTGTTCTTCTCGTTTTTCGGGTCCCGCGGCTTTTTTGGGGGCTTCCTGACTTCGCCGAAACCTCTTTCCGAAGTGATCCCAAGGTTTCGGAACTTGGAACTCGTCAAACGCGCCAACCCTTTGGCTCTAGAACCCCGGAAGCCTTCGCGCGGGAAATTGCGCGCTTCGCGTCTTCCGGCAACGCCCAGCTTGCAAACCGCAGCTTCAAGGCCTATCTGCCTGCTCGGTTCCGGGACATGTGGTGATGTCTAGATGAAACATATTACATCATATTACATGATGTGCAAATATCCGAAACATATATATATATATACACATATAGTTATATCTGCACAAGGTAGATGGTGTCTCTTAATCCAAAGGACTCCTTGGAGGAACCGCCCTTGAGGCTTGCAAGCTGGCCTTCTGCAAACCTTTGCTCGCCCAGCCTTTGGCTGGGGGCAACTTGGGCCTCCAACTCACAGCGCATGCAATTGAGTTCACCCCCCTTCGCAGTGATTCCATCTTCGCCCACTCAAGTGGCTTGACCCAACAAAACTCCAAACTTCTTATTTGCCACTCAAACGGTCCAAACCGCTAGCGGCTCTTGAGGTTTTTCAGCAAACACCCGCCCTGATCGTGCTTCACCGGCTGTTAGAAGTCCGTAAAACTCAAAAACAAAAAACAAAAAAACATACCCGCCCCGTGTTGGCTCAGGGAAATCAACAAATATGTGTGATTTAGCACCCGGTTCAACATGCCCCAACGGCTCAGGCAACCTCCGGTTCGTGGATGTGGCTCGTTTTGGAGTTGACACACACCTGCGCTTTAACCAATGTTGCGTGAAATCTCGAACCACCTCCAGCTTGCTGGCCTGAAAACCGTGTCAAAACTACTACTGTTCAAGCGGCGGCTCTTAGTTTTGCTTCCAAACACATGCGAGCCTTTTATTATTATTATTATTATTATTATTATTATTATTGTTGTTAAAAAAAAGCGGGGGCGGAACAAAAACAAAACCAAAAAAACAAAACAAAAACGGCTGCCGGTTTCAGCTGCTCATCGCCAATCTGAAGCTCAGCAAGCAACGGCGCATTATGCAAGAGCTAAGGTCATTATACAAATCAACGGTACCGTTCATTTCAAGGAGTACCTGGCCCTTTTGTCACTTCACACAGCCTCACATCGCGCATGGCGCAGCGACTTTTCACCGTTAGTCCCTGCGCACAGCCACTGGCTCGGCTTGCTCAGCTTGCTCAGCTTGCTCAGCTTGCGCGGGCTCCTCCTGGCTGCGGATTTGCCTTTCAAAGACCCAACAAGGCGATTGTTGGACCTCAACCAGTCAAGCCAACAAGGAGGGGAACCCTTGTTTGGCGTCTGCGCTTTTTCAGCGCTTCCAAGCGAAAAACAGCACCACTCGGAACTGGGAAGGGGGGGCCAATGCGAACAAACCGAAAAAGGAGTCCATCCAAACGTCCAGCCTCGTCTAAGCCCAGAAGCTCGTTGATCAGCCTGGCTGCACGAAGTGCAGCCGAGGTTTGAACCACCGGCTTTCGGAAATGAACAAAGCCGCTTGAATGGGGCGCTCAAAACGCTTTTTGGGGGATCCAACTTTGTATGTCACAAGCAAAAGTGAAAGGTAAACACTCAACCCTGCTCTCTTGTTTGTTTGTTCTCTCTCTCTCTCTCCCTATCTCCGCTATCTACGCTCAGTCAAAACCACCCACCTTCTGAGCCGTCAGTTTTTGTTCAAAAGGAATCAACGTGCAACCAACCAGAACCAACCATTTGGATTGCCCACCCCCCTGTGGCGCACGTACCTGTCTGGAGTCTCCGTGACCCTTCAAAAATAAGATCATGACCCCTGCTTTTGGGTAGCCCCATTTCCAAAGCGCCATAGAGACTCCAGGTGTCTCTCTTCCCCGGGACTCTTCCCCTCTCTCTCTCTGCCTCCTAGATCAAACATGATCAAGCAACGACCCAAAGGCTGTCAACCCGCTTAGCAACAGAGAAACCAAAGTGTCGCATCGGGGCATGTGGGTTTGTCTCTAAATAGGGGGGAGAGCAAACTGGGTGGTTTCCGTTTGAATCCTAAAAAGGGTACGGTCTACAAAAGGACACGCCCACTGGCATCGTGAGTGGCGATGTACTCTTTCAACCCTTGGGGGCTAAGAATGGACTACCTGTGGGTTCCAACCAGGGATGATTTGGTTCGGGCTTCCAACTTATTTCCTGCCCATGGAAACAGCAAGCTACTAGAGCCAAATGGGTATGTGTAAAAATTCGGTGGGGGGGGGGAATCTCACTGAAGGCTTTCCTTTTGGGTTCCCTTTAACATAAGCCAAAAAGGGTACAACTGAACAAACATCCCCAGCCCACAAACGGAACACCCCCTAGGGTCCTTGGTTGGTTTCACAAAGGTGGCCAGAAATCCATTTGACTGCTTCTTTTTGCCTTGCTTCTTTTTTGGTCCCCGAAGGGACGTCCAGGTACCCAGCACGTCCCCCCAAGTCTCCTTGGCTCCCAGGTCCTCCTTTTGGTTTCCCTTCCAACCAACCTACCAGCCAGGGAACCAGACGTAAGAAACAACCAGCTAGGAACCAAACAAGAAGCCCTCATCCATCCCTCTGATTCAAGCCCCCCCCCAACAACAAACAAACCGTATTTCCGTATTTTTTAACGCTCCACCCCCCTCGCCCCCTTCCTCCCCCCGAAAAAAACAAACAAAAACACAAAACAAAAAACGTGTTATTCTTCCCTTCAAAGCCCCACGCTTCACCGCCAAACGCCGAGAAAAAATAAATAAAAAGCGCATCCGCAGTCCGCGAATTCGCCTGGTGGCCACCGTGCCCACGAGCACCGCCACGGTGGCGAAGGCGACGGACTCCACCAGGACGATCTGCTGGGCCTCGGAACATGAGGCGGCGACCATCGGACAATGGGAAGCAGGACCCAAGAACCACGTATCCCGGAGGTGGCCATTTTTTTTTAGGAGTCTCCTTCTGACCCGCAAAAAAATGGTGGTCATGGCCCAAAATGATTTGGGGTCATGGACCATCATGGACCCATTTTTGTTTGTTGGGTCATGGAGACTCTAGGACAACCAAACGGAACCACAAGGAACCACAAGGAACCACAAGGAACTCTGTTTGCTCGGAAAAGGAACCAAAAAAGACAGAAATCCCCACATGAGACGTTGTTTGGAGCTGGTTTACCCCGTTTTTCTGGTAGGTGTCCAAGGGAAGCCAGAAGGAAAACTACTCTTTTGGGTTTGGGGTCCCCTGACAACCATGGGAAAATGAGCAGTGCCCGTTCCATCCCGAGCTGACGTTTGGTTCTACAATGGTCGTAAAAGTTCACTCTATATGCCACCCACTAAAATTGTCAAATGGGGCATCGCTTTGGTTGGTATTTCAATTGTTGCCTTTCGAAATTTAAGTGAGGTACCCTCGCCAAAATGCATTTGCATGTTTCCCACTCAAGCATCACACCTCTCAAGGAAGTCACTTTAAATGGGCCCCACAAGTGATAGTGATGGGTAAATCCGCCGAAAGGGGGAACCAAAAAACTGACACAGGGCGAAGCGGGTTGAAGGCTCGAAAGAGGGAATTCGCAGCTGGGCTGGTTTATACGAGCCAACTCCAAAAAGGCACACGCTTCAAACTAAGGCACCTCGAGTTCATGACTCTTCAAAGCTAGGACAATGACCCCTTGGGGTAATTAACCCCATCTTTAGGGTGGAGGCTCCAGGTAGTCATGACTGGTTTTGGACCTTCGATTCCATGTCCAAACCATGGGGTCGACTCATGCTTCCTGCCGACGTAGCCACCGGTCGATGAGTCGCCAAGGTCGGCACTTGGCTTTGCACCACGCTCCCGTCGTTGCCCACAGAGGTGAGCAGCAGCATTCCGAAGGACCTCGCGTGTTGCTCGATAAAAACCCTCCGTTTGGCGCAGAAAACTTGAGCAGACTTTGAACGGACCCAAAGTTGTGGATGGCGTCCTTGAGAACCCCAAGGCGTGGAAGGAAGCAAACTTTCCGGAAATAGCCTGACAGCCGCCAAAGCTCGAGCACGCAAGTGCCGAAAAACAACCACTCCGACTTAGCCGCCAGGATCTCGTAGACCCTCCATCTGCAGCACCGCGGCCATGCACAACTCCTGGCGCCAAGACAACCAACACGACCAAGCGCTGGTACTCAGATTCCAGAGAAGGACCAAAGTCCGTGAGCTGGAAAGGGCCCTCACACTTGCGGCCAGCGAAGGGACTGACATGGGCGCGAAAGTCAACTCCCAGGACCAGAAACGCAGTGGGTCCGCAAGTGCGGATAGAGGCTGCAGTATCTAGAGACTTCTAGCTACAGAAGGCGACGCCGGGGATTAAATGTCCAAGCCGAGCCAGGGGCAAGCAAACAGCACGCTTCATGATTTTTGCTTTTCTAGGTCCGCAAACGGTGGCCCACAGGCAACTGCTCCGAACGGGCCTGTGAAGGTTGCGACTGACGCGGACGACCTCCATTCAAGGGTCAGCAACCTGAGGGCCGACGTTGCCAAAGCTCAGCCTGCATTAAAATATCGGTAGCCGGGGCCATCTCCTCGTCCGCCTCCAGACCAGCGAGGCCAGCAAGGGGAAAGCAGCGCAAATGCAGAAAAGGACCAGCCAAGGAACGATCCAAGGGGATAGGCCTGCCACGGCCTGGCGTGTGCAACCAACGCATCGGACTTGAAAGACAAACAGGAAATCTGGCACCTCCATCATGCACGTTGCCGGGCTGATCCAAGACCTGGAGATCCATCAACGCCCCGTATCAGGAAGAGCCAGGGAGGCGTCCGAGACAGCAAAGTCCACAAAATACCGAAAGGGGCCCAGTGGAAGGACGAAGCGCTGCCCGGGATCCGTACTCGTCCCTACTCATCCTTACTCCCACAAACTTAAAGGTTTTGGCCTGGAGGTCTACAAGGAACCTTCATCATGGTTAGGGGATGAACAATTACGTGGCATTGCGGATGTGCACCAAACCATACAATATACATGTGTATAATATATAATGAATTCATGCATATATATATATTATGTATTTTCTATATAATATAATTACTATAATCCTGCGACTGCATCCGACCGCATCCACTGAGTGCCGCACGCATCCAGGAATGCCTGGCCAATGGCATGAGGGCACAAGGTTGAGTGGTCGGTTCTCCATTCAGACCTGGCTATGTCAGCTTGGTTTAAAGGGAAACCGAAGGAAGCAACTGCGTTAGGAGTCCAATTCAATGAACACCCACAATGGCATTGGTTCAAGACACCTGGACCCCAACGGGACTCTTTTGCCATTCCTTCCCACACAAAAAAAGGGGTAGGCCAGAAAACCGGGACCGGGGCGCCATGGATCCGTCAGTTCGCCGAGGCTTGGGCCGTTTTCAGGCACCCAGCGAAGTGCCCGGCCGCGAACTCCCACCAGGTCACCCCGAGGGCACCCAAGAGGTACCTGAACAGGAGGCACATCAAATAAATGCAGCAAAGCGGAAAACACCAGGCGAAAATCAGGATCCAACCGGCTGAAAACTGGGCTTGGGGGGGGAACATGGGTCAATTGGGTTTAGGGCTAGGTCTTTGGGGGTCGGCTTTGTGGATCAAGGGCTTGAGTCAAGGGCAGAAAGAAGGGCTCCATTGCGGGCGGGGCCTGGGGGGGGGGGATGTAGTACCCAAGTCCCCCCAGCTACCGACAAGGGCTGTGCCTTTTTTGGGGCTGGCATACTTTTTGGATGGCTTTTAAGGGGAACCCAAAGGAAAACCACCAAACTTGTGGTGCCATATCCCATGTTGAGACAAACCCATGAGACGGAAGGGGGTTGGAGCGCACCAGTAGGAATCAAAAGGCAGCGGCAGCACTGGCGCCAGCCGAAGCAGCAGCGACAAGCGCGCCCCTTCCTCCTGCGAAGGTAGCTTCAGAGTTGAAGCAAATGAGCATGTTGGTTCTGGTTCCAGGCTCAACCAGTTTGAGATCCCATTCTTCGGGTTGGTCGCATTCATACTTTGACAACCTTTGTGTAGCAACAGCTTGTTTTTGCAGCCCACTCAAACCGCTGAAGTCATGCCAAGAACAAAGACCAGATCGCCCAGCTCAGCCGCTCCCTCCTGGGCGGCGGTCTCCAGGCGTCCGAACCAGGGCTGCCGGCCGAGCGGCTCACTGCCAAAGGCGGAAAAGCCCTGAAGTCGATCCTGCCGAAACAGAGGAACTCACACGCGCCAATTTAGGTTGCAACTGCTTTTCCCGCACTGCACCGATTTTGTCTTTCTCCCCACAGCACAAAGACCGGAAAAAAAAGGTCCGCTCGAGTCCAGGATGCAACGAAACAAAATGGGAGGCAAAGAAACACAAGTCCGAAAGGTGAGTTCAAGTGCTGGGCTACCGGTTCTCAAGGTGACCCGCCAGAAAGACTTGGCCTTTGCCTGGCCATGGGGTATCCTGCTGTCATTGACTGCCACAACGCCCATGAATTTCGAGCGCAAATCGCTCCGCCAGGAAGCTGCGGCCGATGAAGAAGTTACCTAGCTCGGCTTTCCGCATCCCAGTTCTCCCAGTTGGAAACCAGCTGGAAACCAACATGTAAAACCAACCGGACGCTGCTTGCCTATAGTGGCAAAGGAAGCTAAGCATCCCACTAAACGAATCTTGGGACCTCCAGGGACATTCCCTGATAGGGGCTTGCCCTGGTCAGAATCCTCCGAGCCTCGATCAACCCATTCAGGAATTCCGGGATCTTCAGCAACCATAAGTCAAAACGGGTTGGATAAGAACGAAACTATCAATTCCTAAGGTGAAGCCGCCTAGGGCCGGCGACGTGTTTGTTTCATTGCTAAGCCAATCCATCACGCATAACTGTACCCTGAAACCCACACAAAAAAGACGGACAACACAGCACAACCAAGGTCAAACGAGTAATTCAAAAACAGCCCCAGCCCTCGTCTCAAAGCCAAGCACTTGAACAAAGCACATGCACATCCTTTTTGTTGGACAAAGCACCCAAGGCAAGGAACACATGAAACACACATGAATCCAAAGGAGCCACCACCCGAAGGACACATGAGGATGAATCCATTGGCAAACAAAGTTGAATTAATGATATGTGTGTTGTTGGCGAAACTTGGAAGTGCTGGTTGATGGTGTTTTTGCAAAGAGGTATCTTGTTCTGAAAGAAACAAACAAAAACATGTGTCTATTGCCTGATATTCAAAAGGCCCCCCCCACTGCCCAACAAAACCAAACTCACCTGGGAATGACCCTTCCGGTCATTCCCACCAGCCATAATTGGCTTCTTGTAGGCCATCGGTGACCGCCAAAACTTGCTGGATCTGAGCAGGAAATGCGGAGGAAATGGCGCCATGCATCATCTAACTGACGGCTTCCTTTAGGGAATCCCCCCAAGTTCATTTCCAACACCCTTGCAATACCCGACCGAGAACCAGCCAACCGGCCTGCGTGTTAAATAGGGTGGCCTGGAAAAGAGCAACAAATCATGTACTGTATCCCCCATGTCCCTGGGTAAGCTACACAAATACGGGCTATGTAGCACCCAGAACACGCATAAACATAACATATATAACCACCCCTCCCCCAAAAAAAGGACCCCCCCCCCCCAAACAAAGCAGACAAAAGCGTGACTCGATGTCCGTTTCGAAGGCAACCAAGGCTTGCCCACACCTTACAAAAAGAACATGGCCAAGGGTTACGGGTTACCTTGCAGTTGCGAAACGCCTGGGACCCACAGGGTGTGTTGCAAGCAGAGGGGCAGCTGGCCGCCAGCGTCTCGGTGGCAGCGGAGGCCAGCGCGCCCTGCACCAGGCCTCAAGCTCTTCTTCTTTTTTTGAGGCCCTTGGTTGGTTTTGAAGGGAAACCACAGGGAAACCCTGGCCATGTCGAGGCTTCCGATTCCCGAAAAAGGAAAAACTCCCATTGAACTCACTTCTTGAGCTTGGGCCAAACAAATCCGAGCTTTTTGTGTCCAAGTGGTCCCAACCCAAAAAGTTCACAGTCCAGCAACGAGTGAGATTTGTGTGCCTCAAAATAGGATATGGAGCACCACTCCAAAAAGGGCACCCTCAAAGAAGACACCCCCATTGGATCCTTTGGCTTGCGGGGTATGTTGGAACGCCCATCTTGTGAACAAATGGATTGGCAAAAATATATTATTGGGGGGGCCTGGGCAAGATTTTGGCATGGTTGCAAGTCCCCGTTCAGTGGGATATAACCATGGTCACATCACTAACCATTTCGCGACCTGTGTCGGAGCATCTAAGTACAGTATTGGGGGGATTGGCGTTTGTAGGGGTACCCGCACCCTCGAACTAGCCGCCATAATGGGATGTGGCCCTACATTTGCAGGGTGAATTCCTACTTTGATGGGTGGTCTGAAGGTCCAAGTCTCCTTTCAAACTTGGGTTGCGCAGTTGCAATTTGTCCTAAGTGTTCCTGAGCCATGGTCTCTGAGCCACGGACCCGCTATGTAACAAAAACGAAAAGAGAATCTGGCTTTTAGGCAGGGTTCCAATTTTGTGACACGTCAGATAGACTAGCACCCGACAATTTCGCGAACATAAATCAAGGTCTGGGTTCCATGTTGAAACAAAGGGGGCCACTACGAGTTGGGGAAGTCCCACGTTGGGTTGGCTGCTTTAGCCCTAAGAACCTTGCGATCTCAAAACGGCCTTGTTTGAGGTCCAAAACCTTACGGATTCCAGACTCCTGCAATTTTGTGTAACCCGGAGGTGCCTCCGAAGATAATGGGCGCCAGCGTCTTCAGGGCGATCTGAATCGGAAGGAACTCGGTCAGCATAAACCTCAGAAATGTCTTTCGAATGGTGCAAATCCACTCTTTCTCTTCACGAGCAACAGACATGCCACAAAATACAAACGCCACGCTGGACATCTTGGGCATACTGCCACTTAAAGGGGAAAACATTCGGAGAGGGTCAAACCTATGTCCCCAAAGCCTGGTGAGGGAAAGACCTTTTGGGTTGACCAATTTGAGTAGGGAGGGAATCCATCAAACAAACAGGGGGAATGGGTACCACTGAACAAGTGGGATTTCTAGGATTGGACAATGTTCGAGGGTGTGATTGTATAACATGTGCTTTGAAGGGGGGGGGCAGGGCGGCGGCTAGAACTTTCGATCAATGAGGGTCTGTGGAAAAGGACAGGACATTCCTAGGGCACCAGCTCGCCAAACAGATTGTGTGCTGCCCCTACAACACATGAAATGCTTTTGTGTGTTTTGTTGTCAAAGAAAGCAACAACAAAGACAACAAACTAGAACTCAAAATTCTGCCTTGGACAAGCCTACGAGCCTACACTTGCCAATACGAACGCTTGTTGTTTCATACTAAGATGTTGGTTGATTCCCTTGACATTGGAAAACCCAAACCTTCTGCGTGTCATCCAACGGGGCGTTGCCGCTGGCGCATGTTTTTGTTTTTCAGAGTCGCATGGAGCATGTTCGAGACCGGACACTCATGGGTTGTAAGCAAGGTGACTAATTCAACCTCGATGGGCTTCCCTAGAAGGCCTACCCGATCCAACTCTGCTTTCGCCCAGACGTGTTTTTCGTTCCTCTAGTCAGCCATGACATTCTAGCCAAATCCTTACTCCAACACCCTCCCACCGTGGACAGATTCCATAGTGGCAGGGAGGCTATGAATCCTTGATTGTTTTGGGAACCCTTGGCAGGCCATTCTGGAATTGCCGTCCAACTTTCCGCAGCGAAACGCGCGCGCTTCCAGGGCACAGCTTCTCGAGAATGAAGACCAGGACGTAGAGCCCGATCTTCACCAAGGTATCGAACTCCGCGATGGACTGCAACACACCCATCCTAAGCTTGGCCCGCCCGAAAGGTACCAACCAACATGACACGTTTGGATTCTCTTTCATGTTTTAGTCAGCCCTAAAAATAGGACGTAGGTTTGGAGGAGACTCCTGTAAAAATGTATTTTAAGCCATTTTGACACCCCCGTCTGCGTCGAGCATCCTTGGAAGGCGCACAAAATCATTTACCCGCCCAAAGAGTTGCCCCCAAGCAGATCCTTGGGAGGTACTTGGATCCCTAAGGGCTAAATGGCCCCAGTTCCCTCCTTGTCAACGCCAACCAAACCATCCAGGCGGACAAAATGAGACAAGTTGATCCCGGCGTTCGTGAAAACCTTCGGTTCAAAGTTGGATCCAAGTCCCTTCCCCTAGGCCGTATGGCCTTTGGAGCAAGCCAGGCAAAAGGATAGGGCGGTTGATGGCGGTTGGATCCTATGACAGTCCGCCAACCCGGAAGTCATGGGTCACTATGAAAAGCGCGTGTCCAGGCATGGGTTTCGGAGGCATGGATGCTTGAAGACCATCAACAAGTTGTAACACGGCACATACTTTATGATAAATAAAGCGGAATAATTATACCCTGTATAAGTGGAATATACTTGGAGCATGGAATTCCCCATGTTTGAAGGGTCCGGAGACTCCAAGTAACCTCCATACCTCCGAAACCCCTCTGCCTGTGCCAACTTGAAATGAACCTCCCGGAAACCGAGGCGCAAGGAAGCTCGATCCGGCACACCCAGGGGCTGCACAGCCTGGCGGCTTTTCGAACCCCCACACAAATCGCCGCATTCGACAGAGCAACCAAAACAGAGCTCGCGACTCAACTGGTGCAAAAAAACAAAATGTTGAGACCGCTGTCACACTGTTGGCAGTTTTGGACACATCCAACTTGCTGCTTTTCAGCAAGTCAGCAATGGCTTTAGGAATGCATCGGCAAGAGATCCCCTGGACAAAGCACCAGTTGGATGGTTCAATTCACTGTCAACACATTCCCGGAATCTGAGAATCAGCTGGTCTGGCTTTGCACCGCATTTTTGGGGGGTGAAAACCAAACAGATGGGGTCCTTTGAGGGGTCCAAACAGCCAAAAAGGCCATGTTTCCCCGCTGTGCTGCAGTCAAAACCTGATGAAAATGGCCTGATCAAAGCATGTATCCGCCGACCCCGCCTAGGAGCGTGCTCAGGCGGGGCGGCGCCTGGGATACCGAAGGTCCCATCGAATGGCCGTAGGTGCGCTAGCTTTCTGCCAGGCTGGTCGGTCGCTGCAATGGTGTTTGCTGCTGCTCTCTCTCTGTCGCCCTGGCCCTGCCTCGGCGGTTCTCGTGCTTGCTGCGAGGCTGTGGCTGCCGGGCTCTGGCTAGTCTGCACTGCGCTTCTTAGTGGTTTTCGAAGGTGCCGTTAGGCACCCTCCGAGCGTCCCTGTTCGGTCCCTTTTCCGTCGCTTTTTGCACGCCGTGCCACTGCGCTTGGGGCGAGTCTTCTTAGTGGGTTTCGAAGGTACCGTTAGGCACCCTGCAAGCCTCAATTTTCGGCTCTTTTTCGGTCCCTTTTTCCACGCCGTGCCACTGCGCTTGGGTCTAGCGGAGGGCGCCTTGGCTGGCTGCGCCCTGGCCGTGCCTTAGCTGCTCTTGTGCTTGCTGCAGGGCTTTGGCTGCGAGTGGGTTTCCCGTTAGGCACCCTGCAAGCCTCAATTTTCGGCTCTTTTTCGGTCCCTTTTTGCACGCCGTGCCACTGCGCTTGGGTCTAGCGGAGGGCGCCCTGGCTGGCTGCGCCCTGGCCGTGCCTTAGCTGCTCTTGTGCTTGCTGCAGGGCTTTGGCTGCGAGGCCCTGGCGAGTCTTCTTAGTGGGTTTCGAAGGTACCGTTAGGCACCCTCCAAGCCTCAATTTTCGGCTCTTTTTCGGTCCCTTTTTGCCACTGCGCTTGGGTCTAGCGGAGGGCGCCTTGGCTGGCTGCGCCCTGGCCGTGCCTTAGCTGCTCTTGTGCTTGCTGCAGGGCTTTGGCTGCGAGGCCCTGGCGAGTCTTCTTAGTGGGTTTCGAAGGTACCGTTAGGCACCCTGCAAGCCTCAATTTTCGGCTCTTTTTCGGTCCCTTTTTGCACTTGGGTCTGGCGGAGGGCGCCCTGGCAGGCTGCGCCCTGGCCGTGCCTTAGCTGCTCTTGTGCTTGCTGCAGGGCTTTGGCTGCGAGGCCCTGGCGAGTCTTCTTAGTGGGTTTCGAAGGTACCGTTGGGTCTAGCGGAGGGCGCCTTGGCTGGCTGCGCCCTGGCCGTGCCTTAGCTGCTCTTGTGCTTGCTGCGCTTTGGCTGCGAGGCCCTGGCGAGTCTTCTTAGTGGGTTTCGAAGGTACCGTTAGGCACCCTGCAAGCCTCAATTTTCGGCTCTTTTTCGGTCCCTTTTTCCACGCCGTGCCACTGCGCTTGGGTCTAGCGGAGGGCGCCTTGGCTGGCTGCGCCCTGGCCGTGCCTTAGCTGCTCTTGTGCTTGCTGCAGGGCTTTGGCTGCGAGGCCCTGGCGAGTCTTCTTAGTGGGTTTCGAAGGCACCCTGCAAGCCTCAATGTTCGGCTCTTTTTCGGTCCCTTTTTGCACGCCGTGCCACTGCGCTTGGGTCTAGCGGAGGGCGCCCTGGCTGGCTGCGCCCTGGCCGTGCCTTAGCTGCTCTTGTGCTTGCTGCAGGGCTTTGGCTGCGAGGCCCTGGCGAGTCTTCTTAGTGGGTTTCGAAGGTACCGTTAGGCACCCTCCAAGCCTCAATTTTCGGCTCTTTTTCGGTCCCTTTTTGCACGCCGTGCCACTGCGCTTGGGTCCTTAGCTGCTCTTGTGCTTGCTGCAGGGCTTTGGCTGCGAGGCCCTGGCGAGTCTTCTTCGTGGTTTCGAAGGTACCGCTAGGCACCCTCGAAGCCTCAATTTTCGGCTCTTTTTCGGTCCCTTTTTGCACGCCGTGCCACTGCGCTTGGGTCTAGCGGAGGGCGCCCTTGCTTTGGCTGCGAGGCCCTGGCGAGTCTTCTTAGTGGGTTTCGAAGGTACCGTTAGGCACCCTCCGAGCGTCCCTGTTCGGTCCCTTTTCCGTCTGCTTGATTTCAAAGGGCAAGTAGACTAACCCATAGCCTATGGGATGATTGCCAGCCCCTGCCCAAAGGAAGGGTCGGCGGCACCTGGGCGCTAGCCCATTCTATATAGAGAACTAAGCGGGCGGATATCAGCACCTCTTTCTGGCTGGGACTGCCCCGTACCACCCTTCATCTACCCGGGTCCTTCCCAAAAAAAAGGGGGTAAGTTCCCTTCAAGGGTCAAACCAAGCTAGAAGGGGCAACTTCCCATTTGAAAAACAAAACATATACTGGCCCGGCCAAGCAGCAAGGGGCAGGTACCCCTAACACACACACAGACTCACATCCATTTTCCCCACGCCTCGAAGAAGTCATCCAGGTTCTCAGCCGCCAGCAGCCGTGGAGCCACAACTCTCGCCTCTCGAGCTGGGGCCCGGGTGATCACATGGGCGCCCCATTGACATATGTGTCCGTTTTGGAAACCAGATGGCCCTGGTAGATGATGGAACCACCAGGCAAACCAGGGCCCTTTTTTTTAAAACAAACCAACCCAAAAGCACACCTATGCCCATTGACATGTTCTTTTTTGTTTTCTGGGCGTCGAACAAAAAAAAGGGAAAAAACAACAACTCCACGAATCAATTGGAACCCTAGGGCATTTTGACAAGACCATCTCAAAAAAAAACACGGGACAAATCCAAGGGGGGCATTGGGGTCCAGTTTGTTCCATCATGACTCAGCCCCAGACATGATGGACATGGCACTCCTCAAAGTCAAGCGTACCTCTGAAAGCTCAACATGGTCACCGGGTTGTGTTTCATGGGAACCTCTCATAAATGGGTGTCTTTTGAGGATTGGTACTGGATTGATTGACTCGGGCAATACTTGAGGGAATCCGGATCACTTCTCCTGGCCAGCGCCCTATTCCGGCAGGTTCCATTTGCACTGTGTGCACTAAATGCAACATGGATTTTGACCGACTCGGGATTTGCGAGTGAAACAGGGGTCCCTGTATTTCTCCTTTACAGATCACCGCACTTTAAGGAAATTAGCTTTGACACGTCTCGAACAATGATGTTGAAAACCACCCAATCAGGGACATACAGGAAGCCCTGTGAAAGTTGGACACCGCGAAAACATCAACTTCAAATGATACGCGTATCTGCACATTTTGCACAAACAAAAACATAAAAATTCGAGATCCCCAAGCAAACGGCCTGCAGCACAGCACGGTGAGCTCAGTTCCCCCACAGGCAAGCTCACCATAAAACAGACAAATCCATTTCTGGGCAAGCGGCAAACACTGCGAGGATCGCCAGATTCGCATACACCTCGCTGCTCGGCCACGAGGACTTCTGTACCGGCACGTCTCAATACAAACAAATCCGCGGGAGACGCCCCACAAAAAGCCGTGGCCACGATTCCGGAAAAAGTTTGGATGCGCTTGTGTGGATTCCACCTGTATTGGGTCCACTGGCGGATCTAAACCATCTCTTGAGTCACGATGACAAGTAAACGAGACAACAAGCCGATTCGGGAAATGCAAGGACATCAATTGGCTTGTAACATAGAATCTGCTCCTCAGGACGGACATGACTCGGCTCCTGATAGTTTCCAGTGCAAGCCCGCAAACAAGGCGTACCGTGACCTGACGCACAGTGCTGGTTCCCACTATGGTAGCCAGGGGCACCATTTGAAACCCCATTCTTTCCCTGAACCATCGCCCAAATGACCCCTGGCACGCCCTGAGCCCTCCGTCAGAGGCCGTTCTTGGGCCCATCTAGAAATGGGGCGGCCGGAGCTGTGAGCCGCGTCCAGGGCACTGCGCCGCTCGAGAAGCCCCGCTTCACCGGGCGCTTGGACAAGACGCTGGTGAAGCGCATCCTCGGAAAGCGCGAGGCGTCCCGAGACGCGCGAAGGATTCGCGTGGACGGCCCGGGGCTTTGGAGAAATGAAGAACTGGGACCACCCTTAGCATCCGTGGAAAAACATCATGTAGAATGTCGTTATGACTATGGCAGTCAGTTATCACCAAGCACTTTCAGCTCTCACCTTGGACATCAGTGTTCCCAGCACGCTACCTTTCAGCTCTCTTCTCACCTTGGACATGAGTTTGTATGACAAATTAACATGCACCGCTCGGCCTCTCTTCTCTTCAAAAAACCACGACGCCATCATTGAAATCGGCTCCGGGTGTTGGAACCCGGATTTCTTGGTACCTTCAAGGAGGGCTGTTCGGCCATTGATTGGGGCCAAAGTATCTGTTGAGAAGCAGGCGATGTGGACAGATTTGGATGTCTCCGCATGTTCTCCTATTGGTGTTCTATACGACCGTCCTAAAAGAGTATACCCCTCCAGGGGCATCTGTCTTTTGGCCAACAACGATTTGGTCTAACAAATCCACGTGCCCTTCCTATAATCCTGGACCTAAAACCAATCTGAGCTAGTAGCCCATAATATCACACTGCCCAGCGGCGGCCAGGCACCAGTACAGCAGGCATTTGCCATTCCCCCTTGTAGATTTTCAAGGGTGGGTTCTTTATATGTGCTTTCACTTTGGAAAAACCCCTGGTTGATTGATAGCGAGGGAGCGTCCCGTTTAAGATTCAGAGGAAGTCCTCCCCTATTAAAGGTTGACTCATCCAGTGTCAACATTGGTTTTCGGGTTACGGCGCCCAAAAGAAACACCCGAGTTTCTGAATAGCTCAACTGGTATTTCGTTATTGCTGCCAGAAAAAAATGAAAAAACCTACATCGCCCTAAATCCAGTGGATTGACCTCCCCCACATCGATTTGGGGGATGGGGCCCTGCAGTTCGTGCCGAGTGTCCGGTAGTAGGCCACCGAGGCGGCGGGCAGAAGCTCCAGGATCCGCGCCACCTCCTGCGCCAAGCATCTCTTGCGTCACTCCCTGAGAATCACATGGTTGTGGGTCAAAAATAGGCGCCCGAAATGGAACCCTGGTAAATGGAAACATGGGCTAAAACCTGCGGCCCCGTGGTGGCTTAATTTTGACCCATACCCACACGGCCATGAATCTAATCCCGTAATCGCAGTGAACATCCCAATCCCCATTAAAATCGACTAAAAGGGATAGTGCACCTACCCCAAAATGGTACCATTGGTTTTGACCAACAGCCACATGGCCATGAATCTGTATAGACCACCTCAAAGGAAAACCAGGAAATCTGGGTGGGACGTGGACTTGCTCATTTAGTATTGCCGAGGCACTCTCGGATTCCCAGTACTTAACTTGGATAAGCATTGCCAAGACTAAACTTAGGATTGCCAAGACTTACTCGCAAGTTCCCGGCGCTTAGTCTAGTATTGGTTGCGTGGGATGAACAACCCTTTAAATGTAGACAGCCTGGGAATTTCAGCAACCCGAAAAAGTTGGACATTAAAGCGGCCCCGAAAACAGTCACATTAAACAGGATCAGGGACTCGTGTGGGCAACCCCCTTTGTTCCCCAAATAGTATTTACACTATGGGGTTCTACGCTGTGGTTTTCATGTTGGTGTCCCTAACCAACACCAAATAACAGCTCGCTGTTCAAAACGCAGTGCAATTAGCAATCCTAAGCCATCCCTATTCAAGAGCCGCAAGAAGGGAAACCAAAGGGAAACCACCACTTTTGAGATCCCCTGAGACAACCGGATAAAAACCCACACAAATGCGTGTTTTTCTTAGTTGGTACTCCCTGCTGGTTGGTGTTAAAAGGAACAAGTTACCATTTTGATCGAACAGGGCATCCCCCAATTCCAATTTTCTGGCCTTCCCCATAAAAAGGAAACACGTGAGCCACAAAAGGAATCCGAGGGGTAAGAGTCGGTGAGTGAAAATCCATGTTGGGGGGGTTTCCTTCTCAAACACGTTTTTTTCGGAGGCCTCCTTCTTGGCATCGGGGACAGCAGCTTTGGCCTCCGCCCCAGACCGAACGACGGTGCCATTCCTCGGATGCCCGAAAGTCAACTGCTGAATGGGTGTGGCGTTTTTTGGGGACCCCACAATGAGGATTTTCCTTTTGGCTTCCCTTAAAAGAACAAAATAGAAAGGGGTACTCTCAATTAAAGACACACCCACATGGGACCCCGGATTTTTGTTCAGCCCTGGTTGGTTATTGGGTTCCCCCCTTTTGGTGGGGACTCAGCACTTTTGGAGAGGAACGCCTCCTATTAGTAGGACGAGTTTATTAGTCCGGGGTCAGCAGCAAGTGGATTGGCCAGAACAAGTCTAAACCTGTTGTTTGCCACTATCCACGATAGTCCAGGACGGGGAGTGAGACCGAAAGGACTTCTGAAATCTGCGAAAGTTCGAAGACACAGTCATGGGCTCAAATTACCCGCAAGAGAGCATACAATTTACCCAGATCACCTCCCAACTCTTGAACCCCTAATATCATGGAAGCTAGGCAGATTCTTCCAGCTTGAAGGGACCGTAAGGTTGGGACACGAACATAACAAGGAACCATTCTCGCGAAATCATATCCCTTGAGAAAAACGCCACTTGCACAACCGCATCCAGCAGTTCTGTTTTGCCTGGTGAGGGGGCTTCAGGTCGGGGTGGGGTTTTTAGAGCTGTAGAGCAACTGGCTCGGGTTCCCCCATTCTTTTCCAGCAGCGTGCACAAACCAGCCATGTCCCCTTTCATGCAGCTTCATAGTCTGGCCAAACAAACGATGACCTGTTGCTGTGCATGTTTCTATAGTTGTGCCAAACGGTCTCTGCAGCGGCCACTTTCTTTGAGGGGTTCCGGAAAGACTTCGAGGTCCAGGTTCTGGGCGTTGTTGAAGACGCTCGCCCTTCATCTGGGGGGGGGTTCCACGCAACTAAGACTGACCCACCTGTAGAAATGGCACCCTTTCTGCTATGGCCATGGGCCCAGACCGAGCGACCGAGCCTCCAGCGGCCATGGGAATAAAACCGGCACCATCATATTGATT